TACCCATTCGTCAACGTTGCTTGGAGAAGCAACCACAGTCGCGTCAAACATACTGTGGGATTCCGGAGGGTTTTCGATGACTTGGGAGGTCAGGTTTGGTGTCCCTTTGGAAACTGATCGAGCCTTGCGGTTGCGGCTTCTATGTGTTTCTTTCTGGATACCATTTTGAGGACGTGGGACAGAAGAAACGTTTTTCCTTGAGTTTTTTGTGCGGACAGAACTCTTTGGGGATTGTTCTCCCTCCTTTGATCGGTGCGAGTCATCTGTTTTCGAACTCACTTTAGTTTGACTCACGCCAATTTGCGTGTCAACGGAGCGAGTACTTGATGATGTGTCGCGACCACTCTTACCAAAACATTTTTTAGCAGCACTAACCAATGAGATGGCCTCGGTTAGCAAACTGTTAGCATCCGAACAGCACTGTTGACAGAGCCATACGCAACCATTCCTACTGAACCGTTTGAAAGCTGCAGGCGTTAAATTTGTGCAAACTTCGTGGTACCATCCTTTGCACTCATCGCACTGCATGCCGCTTTCAACAGGATAACGACAGCCCGGGCGTTGGCAATTACTTTTTTTGCACTGTCCAGTCATTTAAACACGGGGTTTTTTTTAAAAAAAAAGGAACTAGATGCAAAGACACTCAGGGACAAAAAAACAATCTATGACCAAAAAAAGTGGAAAACTGTGGATCGTTGGAACCAAAAGTACTAACAGATACTATAAAAAAAAACAACAGAGTACTCAAAAGTACTGCCAACAAAACTACTTTAGAAACAATAACAAAAATAATCTAATCGAATACTTTAACTGAAATGAACTCAATTAAAGTGAAAAACAGTAGTTTTGATACGTATAAACGATCAAAACAATAGAATCTACTCAGCGAGGAAAAATACCACTGTCCTTTTTGAATAGCACATCAAGTCACCGTGGCACAAACATCCTACCAAAACATCACCACTGAGCACTGAGAAATAAATGCCGTGAAATTACACATCTAAGAGAGTAAACTCATGACCGGTCCCAGTCGCTGAGATGATATAGGATACTGAAATTTAATGCGCGCGTTACGGCAGTGACGACACTTGTGTATTTTTGTATGTGTTTATTTATTCCTATTGAGTTGTGTTTTACTTTGTCATACATTCACACTAGTTAGAGGGAATCACAATAAACAGAGGTCGCAACTGTTACGGATAAATTGGGGACTATAGACAATTCCTAACTTCGTTTCTTGAAACTGAACTTTACTGAACGAGCTCGTTCAGTAAGTTCAGATTTGTGTATTAAGGACAATAGGCATACGGCCTATGTCATTCCTTTTCTAGTATGCTTCTATGAGTGTCCAGTCTTCTCTTAAATGTGTGAACACGATTGCATCGGGTAACAGGTTTCAAGAATTGATGACTCGGTGTAAAAACATGTATGCCACGGGTATTTTGTTAGTTCTTGGCTTTCTTCACTCCTGCAATGTCCTCTAAGATGTCCCGATCTAGTGAAAATAAAAAGAGTATGTTAGGTCCAAAATCATTTTTAGTATTCTATACACCAAAATTAGATCACATCTTAGTCTGCGATACGGCAGAGCAAAGAGGTCTAGCTTCTCAAGCCGTTTTTTGTTTCAGTTTTCATGGTAAATCCCGGAGTTCTGGAATTGCATGGGTAGCTATCCCCTGTACGTTTTCCAGGATATCCGAGTTACCTTTTAAATAGAGGCTCGCAGCCTTGACACAATTCTTAAGCTTAGTTCTCACTTAGGTAGTGTGTACTGTAGTGAACATGGTAGTAGCTAACTTAGTGAATGCCCGTCTTAAGACGCAGAAGGTTCTAAACCCGCTAGCTGTGGCCCTCCAGCAATCGGCCTTGGTGTTAAGATCATGACTCACTGTCACCTCAAGATCCTTATGAGACAGAAGCACGGGTACATGCACTTCCCCTATGCTGCACCTACTAAGCTTTGTATCCCTAAAGTGCATGTAGGCACGCTTCGTCGCGTTGATAGGCATCAGCCACTCCAGACCACTTAATCACATTATTTAAGTCTGCCTGAAGTGCACATGCATCTTCGTCTCTCGTTATTTCTCTCCAAACTTTTACATCGTCAGTGTATAGTAACATTGGGGACTGTACTATACTTGGGAGATCATTTAGATGCATTAAATCAGTAGCAACGTGGAACTTCGTACGTACCTACGAATATCCTGTACTCTTTCCGGCGATGTTTCACTGCCATAAAGTAGGACGGAACGAACTGCTGCGCAGTAAACCCGTCCTTTGGTTGATAGACGGATATCTCGCCTACGCCACAAATGACGCAAGTTGGCAAAAGCTAGTCGAGCCTTCTGTATCCGTGCTGAGATTTCGTCACACACCAAACCACAAGGGCTGATGAGACTTCCAAGATAAGCGAATACAGTATAAAAAGTAAAGGACCTAGGACAGAACTTTGAGTTACTCCACCAAGTACTGGTCTCCAGGCAGAGAACTTGGGATTTATTCTTACTTTCTGTCTGCGACCTACTAGGAAGTCCTTAAGGCATTATAAGAGAGGTCCGGCAATACCAAGATTTTTTAACTTCATCAGCAGTCTGTTTGTTAGCACCTTGTCAAACGATTTACCGAAGTTTATATAGACAACATCCACTTATTTTCCGTCGTCTAGCACCTTCATCCAATGCTCCCTTGCTATAAGGAGGTTTGTTGTGCAAGATAAACGTTTTCTAAAACCATATTATTCACTGTTAAACATGTTGTTGGCTTCCACAAATATCGTTATAGTCTTTCTGACTATTCTTTCCAATATTTTAACTACAACACTAGTGGGGCTGACAGGTCTGTAGTTCGATGGAATTCGTCTTGTTTTGTGTATAGGAGTGGCGATTGCATTCTTTCTGTTCATAGGTGACACCTTGGTCAAGTGATATATTGAATATCACAGTCAGTGGGGCTGCAATATATTGTGCAATATGTCTCAGGATTTTGGAGTGTGGTTCATCCGGTCCTGTTGACTTTTCCATGTCCAAGGTGCTAAGAGACTCAAGTGCATCGTCTTGATCATGGTAAGCAGACGATTTGTTGACTTTGCATTTGGGTCTAGTTCTTCGTTTCGGAGAGGTTCCTGAGTAAAGACTAAGGACACTTTTATGACTGCTGCGTCCAAAGATTACAGTTAGGAAGAGTCAGGAAACGGTTTGAGACTTAATATCCTTCCCATCTTCAAAACAGACTGGATGACGCTACTGAAAGTCTTAAAGCAAACCTTCACTATGTGGATAATGACTGTTTGCATCAAGTGACATTCTAGGATCAATAAGCCTGTTGTGCTCATCGGTCGATTCACTTAAAAATACACCTAAACACCTTTCGGAGGGTTTCCAATCACTTCGCAACAAAACACAAAAATGTAGTGCACCAACAATATGTAGTGTCGTTAGTTTGATCATTCTTTACACGTCGTGGTTGCTAATGTATTTATGTCGAGATTTTGTGGGCAGAAATAGTGAACTGTGTTTCCTTAGGATTAGTGTCTGGGTATTAAGAGAGTGGCCGTAGTTACCAATAAAAGTAAGGTCATCAAGGCATACGACATAAATAGTTGCCTACACCCAATAGCTTACTGACCTAAGCAGGTTGTAACGTGCATCAAAGTATCTTAGATCTACGTATGCATTACCATACGTCTTGTAACTTACCACTAATTGTAATATGAGAACCTGGAAATTAGTTGTCACTTTAAATAGTTACATGAATTGCTGTTCCTCAGGAATGAGTACTGACCACCAAAAGATATGTCGAAAAAGCATTTTGCAGCGCTCCGGTGGTGTATAAACAGATCAACAGAAAGTAGAACTACAGTTTTCAAATGGTAAATAAACCGTATTCCATGGGCTGACTATGCAGTAGTATTATACAACGAAACTGAAGCATAACCACACTCGTTATATTAACTTAACCACTGACAGTACAGATTGTTTTCCCTAGGGTAAAAAAATGCCCTGGTACGGCCGAGAGTGGGGAGAGTCCGCTCTCCCTCTCGAAATGCTCTCACATGGCCACGCGTATACAGCCCCTGCCAGGGAAGTCCTACTCACTGCCTTCTCGTGGCGGGGGGGTTGTTGACGAAAATGATAAGACGAAAAGCAAATGTCCGGCGCTCTAACCAGATCCCAAACCAATGGTGCACATGGGCTAGCTCCAGTATCCTGCGGGAACAAATGGCGTATGAACCAATCGTGTGTCACCGGCTACCATGGGACTGCATCTCCTCACGATGTTCCACTGCCTTGTGGATCAGATCTTCAGGTCGAAGACTCGAGGTGTGGCCCCCTAAGAAAACCACCTGCTTCAGTTTGGGCACCCGGGCAGTATCACAGCCCTCACACATATCCAATGAGATCTGTGTGGCGCATATGTATTTGGTGCCTTCTTGTACCGATATCTATGTGCTAAAATAAATAAATAAAATAGGGTACAAAAATAAGCTTAACACTTAGCTAATTTTCCCTGGATGAACTGAACAGTCGCTGATGAATACATTATCCGTTTCTAGAGTGAATGATTCTGTTTATCAAAACGAACAATCTATTTTATACGAAATTTTTTGTTCTTAAATGCAACTTTATATTTAATACTTTGGTTGTTTCTTATGCTTTTTTGCATTAAAGGAGCATTACTTTGTGAAAGAAAATTTCCAGTATTTTAGTGAGCATCGCACAAGTAATAATTGATGACTCGTAACAGCATATTGCATGAAGTGATGCTTTTTTTGTTTGACCTTGTTTGGCGTGTGAGAACACATTTGATATTTCATTCGTATGAAGCATTTTTCCTCCTAAGAATCCATCGAAATTGACAAAAAAACACGTAAGATATGTATGTATGAATATATAAAGCATCAGATTGCGAAATGTACATAGAAAACATACCAAATAAGCTTTAAGAGAAATATATTGTACACATAGTCATCTTTTTACTCTTGTTTATTATCAGCTAAATACTTAGGAGGACTTATTTAAAAAAGATTGAACGTATTCAGTTAGTTGAATACATTTTATAAATTTAGAATTGTTTGACGTGGATAGTACAAGAGATGGTGTAGATTTTTGAAGTGGCAACTCAAGCGGGTTAAAATCTTTTAGCTCGTCGTCATTTCCAGGCAACGCTTTGTAGATATTAGTGAAGTAGTGTGGTAATTGTTTTGCTGTTAATTCAGATGTTGGTTTGGTTGTTGCTTTATCAGGTGAGTGTTTCTTGCCACCAGGTTTTTCTAAAGGCGAATCTAAGCTCTGAATGCTTGATGTCGATATTCTGCGTTTGTTTGAAAATCTCAGTTCAGACACATAACCAACAAGTTTATTGGTAGTAGAATTGGCATCACTAATTGGGATTATGTTGTCGGTAGTTAAAGACTTTTGGCCATCTCCGTCTACTTGATTACCTGCTCTTAACCAACCCATTGGACTTACAAACGTCAAACGCTTCAGAAGTTGTACTATGGGACTGACAACAACAGCTTTGTCTACTGAGCCTCTTCCACCAGACATTTCCCTATAGAGAAGAGAGAAAACATTCTGTTAAAACTGGTGAATTTCAAAATACATATTACAGGCTATTTTCATTCGCATGAAAGTATAGGTATTATCTCGTTCTTTTATTGAACAGTGTTGTCCATCTATGTCCTGTCCAACAAATACTAAATAATCCCAGTATGACTCAATCTGCTGATAATCACTGGATGGCTGGTAGCAAAACACCAGCCAGTAAGTTAATGATATGTTATATTTGTAAACGATCACCACCTACTAGATAATTACTATAATTTTTCCAGGCACTTAGATCAGACTGGGTAGAGTGAAGTTTGAATATGAAACCTAATAGTTTGAATTTAAGTGTCCTAATCACTAAGCTATCGCTCTTCAGAATACATTGTTACCTTACTTGATATTCGTTGGTAGGTGTTCCCAGTAACACGAATCTAAGGCCTATCACGCTTATCACAAGAGCTATCAATTTATAACGGCTACATACTAAGAAGTAAACACTTAGTTTTGACTAGGATTTTTTTGTTTTTCACTTAGGAATTTTGCAGCCTCCGTAAATTAATATGCAACCGAACATCCGTCAATTCGATGTTTTCATCTACCTCTTGTTTAATATTAATGAAAACCATATAAGTTCAAAGAATAAACTTACTCATGAGAATGAATGTTTAAGTTTGTTTGCTCGGAGCTATTTTCCAAACTATCATTTAATCCGTGAATACAACCTTTATCTTGACGATAAGATAGCCAACGTTGAGAATTAAATGACGCAAATAATTCTCTGTTAATTGTTGAGTTGATTTTAGGAGCTAATTTTCCACGGATAATAGGTGTTGCTGGAGCGAATACATCGTTATTGTTATCATCGAAAAGTGAAAATGTTGTAGAAAGCGTACAGCCAGTCTGATTGACATCTTGCGAAACATTTGCTACAATACTACCTTCAGTATTACTTTTGTTTAAGCAATCTTTTAATGGATGATCAATATTCAGTGATGAACAATTAGACAGATAATCTTCTAAAGCTAGCAAACCATCTTCAGAGCTTAAGTCAATGTAATCATCCAAAAATTCCCAATATTCATACCAACTTGTCCCAAAAACACGTGATAAATACCTGGAGTAGAAAGTGTACGTACTAAGAATTTTTGGATACGTAGTATATGTACATCATAAAACACGTCTATTTAAAAGGTCGAGAGTCGAATGCTCTAACAACTAGACCAATACTTCGTAATTGAATAATACTTTAGTCTAAGTAAATGGATTTTTTCAAAGTACTCTCACACGGCCACGCGTATACAGCCTCTGTCAGGGAAGTCCTACTCACTTCCTTCTCGTAGCGGGGGTGTTCTTTATGAAATTGAGAGGACGAAAAGCAAATGTCCGGCGTCTTAACCGGATCCCAAATCAATGGTGTACAAGAGCTCCAGTATCCTGCAGGAACAAATGGCGTATGGACCAATTTATTGGTCGCCGGCTTTCATGGGACTGCATCTCCTCACGATGCTCCACTGCCTTGTGGGTTAGACCTTTAGGTCGAAGGCTCGGGGTGTAGCCCCCTAAGAAAATCACCTGCTTCGGTCAGGGCACCCGGGCAGTAACTCAGCATACACAACAAATTTAATGAAAATGATGATATTCACTGAAAACTCTATTCTTGCTTCGATTTACAATCAAACAACTCACATTATTATGTACTACGTCATTTATCCACTCTCTTTTATTTCCACTTTATGTATCCTTATTTTTCGACTTATACAGCAGCTCGCCTATGGTGGAAATTCGGCTCTATCTAAACGTTCTCGAGTCACTGCCTAGTTGAAAATTGTATGTTACCACCGAATACGAATACTGAAGCAGTTTTTCTGGAACCACGTGCATCATTCAAACTGGCTGCCTTCAACGTTCGCACACTTATGCAGGTCGGACAACAAATAGGACTGGCTATGTCTTTGGAAAGTCTTAATATCGACGTTTGTTGTCTATCCGAGACCCGTATTCAAGACTCTGGTGAAGAACTATAAATTCATTCTCCATCTGTCACTTCAAAAAGCTTGTTATACGTGCGTTTATCCGTGGACCCTGTGGCATCTTCGTCTGGTCTTGCTGGCGTTAAATGTCACACTAAGCGCTAGAGCTGAGGCAGCACTAATCGATTGGATCCCCATTAACAGTCGGTGATGTGCTGTTAGATTAGCAAGTTCGATCAAAGTGAGAAGAAGTCGACGTGAGAAACGATGTCTTTTCGTCATCTCCACCTATGCCCCGACAGATTGCAGCCCGGATGCAGTCAAGGATGGATACTACCACCAGTTAACTGTTCTTCTCCAGAAAGTGCGTTCGACAGATATTGTAGTACTAGCCGGAGACTTGAATGCTCAGGTTGGGCGTCTAGACACAGAAGAGAGTCGTTTAGGTGGCCGATGGGGACTCGTTGGTCGCAGGACAGATAACAGGGAACGTCTACTGCAACTATGCACAGACCACAACCTGTTTCTGGCTAGCACTAACTTTCGGCACATTCATCGCCGATGTGCCACCTGGCGTCATACCTCTGCATCTCAATCCTGGATACAGATTGATCACATCGCGATCAGCTACCGCTGGTGTGGTTGTGTACAAGACTTCCGCTCCTTTTGGAGTACCTCTCTGGAATCTGATCATGCCCTGGTCTGCGCCAATCTTACCTTACTTTTCAGTGGTCAACGAAGTGACCGCCACCAAAGGATTGATGTTAGCAAGCTGGTTGCAGCTTCTGTTGCTAGTAAGTATCGAATCGAGCTAGCTTCTAGGCTAGCTACCATTCCACCGAAAAGTATAGATGAGCATTGGTTGCAATTGCATGACGCCACGAAAATGGCAGGTCAAGTCCAGAACGCGAGTCTCAGCCTCTGTGATATGAATCATTATATTTCAAACATACTCTGTTTATATACCAATCAAACAGACTACATCGCACCATTAAATAAAAAATAACATTTGTACAAGATTTAACCTCCAGGAAATGACACAAATAAATATTGACCAATAGGGAAATGACACCATTTCTCATTCAGGAATATCATTAGATAATTTTTGGGGTATTTTCTGAATACCTTACTTTTCAGTGGTCAACGAAGTGACCGCCACCAAAGGATTGATGCTAGCAAGCTGGTTGCAGCTTCTGTTGCTAGTAAGTATCGAATCGAGCTAGCTTCTAGGCTAGCTACCATTCCACCGAAAAGTATAGATAAGCATTGGTTGAAATTTAAGACCGTGGGTTACAGTCAACATGATTCGTTCTGTGATTGGCCGTTCAATTTGTCGACTTTCCAGGGTTAGCTGTATCTTTTATTTGTAAAGGCTTCCAAAATGCCATTCTTTATAATTATTTAGCAATATGATGGTCGTAATTGTTATAGTTTTAGCAGACGGTGACCGTTGTTGCTACCTTGACGTGGTGGTCGGGCTTGCCTATCGTGATGAAGCAACTGAGCTATACTGGCTGGAACAACCGTTCCTCAAGGTCCTACCATGCCAGACAGGTCGGTTGAAGAGCGGTAAGACTAAAAGCAACAAAACCTAAGTCCGAAGGCGAAGTCGTACTGCTGACTGTACAGAGGTGTGACAGCAGTAAGGTGTTTCCTTCAGACAACCAGCATAACAGCGATGCTGCCTTCCCAAAAGGAGGGGAGGGGTTAGAAAAGGTCGACCCTAAAAATGCACACCTCGCCTTATCCCACGGATATCCGTCTCCGGCGGTAAGGTCTCAACAAGTACGGAGCTAACACAAAAATTACTCATAAAAAGGTCGTGTGTGACCGACCTTAAGCAGCTGTCCCTTGGGCACTGCGGTCACGCTCTCAGGTCACTATGACCACCCCTAATCCAATTTCCTTTTCAGATACCTCCAGCAGAACCCTTCCACGGTGTGGGCAACCGGGAAGTGATAACCGCCCTCATACCTCTAACAGCACTCAAGACCACTGTATTCATAATCAACCTACCTCTTCAATTCCTATTATTCCTCCTACATCGACTTTATACACTAAACTTCCTCTTTTAGCTTCCTCCTCAAGTTTCACCACAGCCAACGATTCTAGTGCGCAAAACACTGTCCCAGATCTACTAAAACCCCGCTCCAAAAACTACACATTGGAGCCTTCAACGTACGCACACTATGCCAAATCGGTCAGCAGGCTTCCTTGGCTAAAACCTTAGAATCTCGTACGATTGATGTATGCTGTGTCTCCGAAACACGCATACAGGATCCTAGTGTGGTCATTCACTTGACCTCACCTCGGCAAAACGGAGTGCCGACGAGATACACCCTCCGTGTATCTGGCGACCCGATGGCTAGTTCTCGTGGACTTGCAGGTGTAGGCATAGCACTAAGCATGAGGGCGGAACAAGCGCTATTAGAGTGGATCCCCGTTAACAGTCGTCTATGCGCTGTTCGGCTAAACGGCTCCGTAAGAACTCGAAAGGATAGGGATACACGTCGTTGCCTTTTCGTCGTTTCTGCCTACGCTCCCAGTGACTGCAGTTCGGATGAAGTGAAAGATGAATTTTACAGAAAACTCTCTGAACTTCTTCAGAAAGCTAAACGTTCAGACATAGTACTCGTAGCAGGCGACTTTAATGCCCAGGTAGGTAGCTTAAACGAAACAGAGACATTTAGGTGGGTATTTTATTATTCCGGCACAGAGAACAGATAATGGTGATCGTCTGCTGCAACTGCGCTCAGACAATCGTTTATTTTTAGCAAACACAAATTTAAGCATAAGGAGAGACATCGTCTAACATGACGACCCCCTGCACCAAACCAACGATGGACTCAAATAGACCATATTGCCATCAGTCATCGTTGGAGAGGGTCGATAGAAGATTGTCGCTCATTCTGGAGTACCTGCTTGGACTCCGACCATGCCCTAGTACGAGCACGCATCTGCTTGCGCCTCACTGGACGCAAAAAAGATATACAAGCAGCTATGGAAACGGCAGTGACATCTACTAGTGATTTAAACCACAGGGTTACAAAGAACCAATGGATTTCTTCAAGGTCTATTGCACTGATAGATTCTCGTAAACTCATCCCATCAGGTTCTGAACACGATGAAGAGCGTAAAGAAATCAGATCTAGATTAAGCAAAAGTCTAAGGAATGATCGTGAGCAGTGGTTGGCAACGAAAGCAAAAGAGATGGAAAAGGCGGCGGCTATAGGGAACACAAGACAACTCTACAGACTAATAAAAGAAACTGGAATTAAAAAGTCAAGTGTAAGTCAGACTATTTCGGAAAAAGACGACACTCTCATCTGCACCCAGTCCAGACGTTTAGAACGATGGGAGGAACATTTTAAGGAGCAGTTCAGTTGGCCTTCAGCTACTCTACAACTACCCTCTATTCCCAGACAGTATGGATGGAACATTGAAGTAGGTCCCCCAACTCTAGCTGAAGTTCAAAAGGCTATAGCTAATCTGAAACGAGGAAGGGCAGCTGGTCCAGACGGATTGGCCCCAGAGGTCTTTAAGGATGGTGGTCTAGTTTTAGCGATTAGGTTGACTAATATTTTAGCTAAAATCTGGGAGTTAGACGTTATCTCATCTAACTGGTCACAATCACTTATCGTCCCAATATTTAAGAAAGGGTCAAAATCATCCTGTGACAACCACAGAGGGATTAGTTTAACTAATATAATATCTAAAATACTAGCTTCGATAATTTTCGGACGCCTAACTAAGACTCGTGAGCTGCAAACACGTGAAAATCAGGCTGGCTTCAGACCTGGTCGTGGCTGCATCGACCACATATTCACCATTCGTCAGGTTCTAGAACACAGGCATACTTATCGGCATCCGACAATGGTGGTCTTCCTTGACTTAAAACCAGCATTTGACTCTATTGACCGAGAGGTTCTGTGGCAGTGTCTGTCATTGAAAGGCGTACCTCAGAAGTACATAAACCTTGTGAAAGCTCTTTACTCGAACACTACTAGTCGAGTCAGAGCTTATGGCGAACTGTCATCTGCTTTCGCAACGTCAAGTGGCGTCCGCCAAGGCTGTCCACTTTCTCCATTTTTGTTCAACTTCATCATAGATCTACTGATGGAAATAACGCTCTCATCGACTGAATTCTCAGGTATTGATCTCCTACCAGGAGGTCCACTTATTGACTTAGAATACGCAGATGACATAGTCCTGTTTGGTGAAGACGCTGATGAAATGCAGAGTCTTTTGGTAGCACTGAGCAACAATGCCAGAATGTTTGGGATGCGCTTCTCTCCCTCCAAATGCAAGTTGTTGCTTCAGGACTGGTCTGTGTCAACACCTGAACTAAGGATAGGGGGTGAAGTAGTCGAACGCGTCGACAACTTCACTTATCTTGGAAGTCTGATCAGCCATAATGGGTTGGTGTCTGACGAAATCCCTACACGGATTCAAAAAGCTCGTTTGGCCTTTGCCAACTTACGTCATCTATGGCGAAGGCGAGATATCCGTCTATCAATTAAGGGACGAGTATACTGCGCGGCAGTTCGTTCCGTTCTTCTATACGGCTGCGAAACATGGCCTTTAAGAGTGGAAGATACTCGTAAGTTACTAGTATTTGACCACAGGTGCCTTAGAAATATTGCGGGTATCTGCTGGGATCACCGGGTAAGTAATAGTGAGGTTAGACGCAGGGTATTAGGAAATGATGGTAAATCAGTTGATGAGGTTATGAATCTTCATCGACTGAGATGGTTGGGCCACGTGCTGCGTATGCCTGAACACCGATTACCGCGACGCGCAATGGTAACCGGTGTTAGGGATGACTGGAAGAAAGTTAGGGGCGGCCAAACCAAAACGTGGCATCAGTGCTTGAAGTCACTAACTTCTGGTCTGAGCCATGTTGGTAGATGCAGACTACCTGGTTGGGGTCCGCGTGACTATCGTAACCAATGGTTGGAGACTCTTGGTGACATGGCTCAGAATCGATCACAATGGCGTCGGTGTATACACTCTCTGTCTTCCTTTAAACTAAGAGATTAAAATCACTTCAAATCTTTCTTTCTAGGAACTAATTCTATCTTCCTGTACTATCTCCTTATACACACTCTTTCTTCTATATATTACCACCACTGAATTAACTACTTCTATGAATCCGGTGTTCATCTTGTTGTGCTAATGCGGTATGGCAACTTGGACCGATGCATATACGTGCCTGGTCCTACGTTGCAGCTGACTGACTGACTAGTTGAAATTGCATGACGCCATGAAAATGGCGGGTTAAGTCACTTGCGGCTTCGCGAAACGTCCCGCTTATAAGCACTAGCTTTCTTCTCGTTCCTTACAACTCATCGAAGCCCGTCGGTCTACTCCAGGTGACCGTGAGTTTGACCACAGACAGAGGATGTTACGTAATGAAATCGGGCAAAGCTTGCGTAAGGACCGAGAAGCCCAGTGGTCGGAGCGTGCTAATGAGCTGGAAGCAGGAGCTGCATCTGGTAGCTACCGGAAACTCTTCCAACTCATCCGAGCCACTGGCAGCAAGAAGTCTGGTGTGAGCGAAACAATCTGCGAGGATGACGGAACGCCAATCACTAACATCCATCGACGTCTTGGACGATGGGCAGAATTTTTCGAAGGGCAGTTCAACTAGCCTGCTGCTCCGGCAACACCAATCAGACTGTTCTGCCCTCCATGGCCGGTGACGACTGATCCACCAAATGAGGCGGAAGCCCGCAAGGAACTCCAACTCTTGAAGCGCTACAAATCACCGGGCCCAGACGACTTACCTCCGGGTCTTTTTAAAGATGGTGGTGACTTTCTGACTAAGGGACTGACGACGTTGTTTACAAAGGTCTGGGAACTAGAGAGTGTACCAACGTCATTGATATGATGGGAAGAAATATCAATATTCGATTGATTTACTTAATATGAGTTTTATTCATCATTACATCCTTTTGATTCAATGTAATGATTACGCAATGTAATATGTCTTTTCTTTTCTCGTATATTTATTCTGTATAATATACAATATTCTTGTATTCCATTGGCTATGAACTATACTCAGCATATGATTTGTTATAACTGTGAGTATTTTTCATGTATGTGATTTTATTCTAATTATTAATCAAAACGGATGTACAATCAATATATAAACGAGTATATTTTCTACTAAAGAGACTTCGCTCGTCTCTGGTTGCTGCAGAATACACTTCTCATTTTAAGCGTGGACTTCTCCCTCTAGATAGCGGGGCTGGGGCTTGTCATTAGTTAGCTCACTGGTCATTAGTCATCGAATTTCGTTCTCGTTCGCAAATCTAAGTGAACTCGTTAAGCTTTAAACCTAACACTCATGGAATGAGTCCATAGTTGTCCCTATCTTTAAAAAAAGGTTTACGTCGTTCCTGCACGTTCGAAGTGCAAAGTACTTCTACAATACCGGCAGGGTTCTAATCCTGTACTCACCCTAGATGGTGAGCAGACAGAAGTAGTCGAGAAGTTCGTGTATCTAGGTAGCTGCATAAGTGCTGGTGGTGGCGTGAGTGATGAAATCAATGCAGGTATAGTGAAAGCCAGAGCGGCTTATGCCAATCTGGGTCATCTATGGTGCCTTCGTGATGTCAGTCTGGCTGTAAAAGGTCGGATGTACAGCGCGTCGGTGAGAGGAGTTCTACTCTATGCTTGTGAAACCTGGTCTGTCCGAGTTGAGGATGTTAGACGACTCTCTGTGTTTGATCATCGTTTTCTCCGAAGGATTGCTAACATCCAGTGGCAACACCATGTTAGTAATGCAGAAGTTCGGCATCGTGCGTTCGGGCACAGAGACGTTAATCCAATTCATGTCACCATCTTGAAACACCGACTTTGGTGGCTTGGACATGTTCTACGAGTGTCGTCCAAGAGAATTTCACATCGTGCATTATTTGTCGACTCTGGGACTGGTTGGAAAAAGCGGAGAGGTGGTCAGTACATGACATGGTGTCGTGGTATGAAAGAAAGCTGCAGAGGACTGGTTTCTGTTGGTCCTTTACGACTCCATGGCTGGGGTCCTAGAGATGGTGCAACATAGTGGCTAGAGACGTTATTAGATATGGCTCAGAAAAAAAGTCAGTGGTGATCCTGTCGTAACGTTCTTTTACTTTCTTCGTAAAAAGTGGTTGTTTTTTCCTTAACTGAAAGATTTCTTCTGATTGTACCTTTTCGTTTCCCCCATTATTACTACTATCACACTACCTCACACTAATCTGGTCGTTATTGTACTCTTGTTTTTTGTTATTCCCTACGCTCCTTACTTTTTTTCCTTTTCTTTAAATTCTCGTTGTTTTGTGTGGCGCATATATATTTGGTGCCCCCTTGTACCAATATTTATGTGTTCAAATAAATAAATAAATACTCTTATTGAAAATCGTGTGTTGAGTTGTTTGATGGTTTAAGGCGTACGAAGTGATATCCATTCAGACGTATAAACAAAGTTAGTTTCTTTTATAAGGCGTTCTATGAGTACCCATAAACAAACCAACTTACCGTCCTTGGCGTTCATATCCTTTTTCTGAATCAACTAGACGAAGATGTGAAAAAGATTTGTAGTCAACAGCATTAGGCGCATTGTATTGAAGCCATTTTTTTCGAAATTCGACAGCCTATAACAACATAAAAATTGGGACAGATTAGGTATCATATATAGTTTATTTTGGGAAGTTTTACAGATTGGTGTTAAATATTTTAGCAAATAATTAGGTGAGACTCCACTCGTATAGACTAAATCACTTTTTGTAGGTCACATTACTTCCATCCAAAAGGTTAGGTTGGATGACATTGCTGTTAGAACCCCCACGTAACAAAGTGACTAATACCGGCCCTTGTGCTTGAATTCGAGTCGCGTAAATCCATTTACAACTAGAAGTATCAGTTAAGGGCTCTGACATCAGTTCGGTTAAACTTGGATCTGTGATTAAAAAGTTGGTAATCTAACTGCAGAACTGGGTTGAACAGGTTTGGATCTGATGCGAAGTATTAGTTTCCTCAGGTTCGCAAATACACCCTACCGATGAAAGCTAAGCACTTGTCCTATGTCCAGGGACTGTTGCTGACTGGCGTTAGCTATTTAAAACGAAACGAATTACAGTACTATGCCGAGTTAGCATAATCGATGAAAAGTGACGCCGTATACACCGTTATATCGTTCTATTTGTGTGTTTTGATTAGTTGGGGTAGAAAACACATGAATCAAATGAATGTAAACCGAGAAGCGTTTTTATGAAGTAAATTAAATCTCAAATAATTATTACGACTAAGAAATATCAACTAATAGATTATGAATAAGGGTTCTCTACATTGCAGTTCACATATTTGAATAGTCGACTCTTTACCCCATTTTATTAAATTCGGTGTACAGTAATTGGAACTTTCAAATACTTTAGACTGTACTGAGCTATACTCTATTTTCTTTTGAGCACACAGTTATCTCTATCTACAACAAAGTTTTAGGAACCCAGGTGAACATCAATGAATCTGAACAAATATTGTGAATAGTTTCTAATAAAAAATTGGGTAGTTGCTTTTAGGTAAACTAAAAGGATTTTATCAGATAAGTGGGAAACTTACTCCTACAATACTAAAAGTTAAATCAGAAGTATTTGTAAGGGCTTGTGTTAAGCGGTAGCTCAATAGTTAGAGCAATCGACTTCCAGTCATAATTCCCAGGTCTGAACTCTGAGCGACCAGGTAGTATCATTAGCACTAACACTTAGTGTGGTCCATACGCAAGCACCTAGTGAGTTGGTTCATAACGAATCGCCTCGACATCACCATTTAGTAACAAGATGGATCATTTGTAGCAATGCCAACAACGAAAAATTACAAACGCTTACAAATAAAATTCATACCCATCGCGCAGTGTTCATCTTAACTAAGTAGCTAGGCGGATAGCCGGTTGGTATTTGAAACGAAAGGTACTGGGCTACAATCTCAGTACGAACATCAACACTGGGATGCAAGTGAGTTCAACTGACGAGTCCTGGGTAAAACAAAACACACACCCTAGATTCCACTGCTAGGCACTATCCAAATTTACTGTAAATTACCAGTACTGCTATTGGACAAGGTATGGATTACCTAAATATCATAGTATGGTTACACTTTGTAGAGGATTTTTTTATGGGATTTAACGAAAGAGAAATTCAATTAAAAGTCACAAGTTCTATGAATAAAGTCTAATATTCTAGAAAGGGATCAGCGAATAATCTGTCGCTCCTGGATGGCTTTTGAGAGATAAATGCAGTAATACACAAAATAAATAACTCTCTGACTAAGGCTGTTAAATTTATGCTTATTGTATAAAAACATGCCGGAAAATTGGAGTTATTTGTTAGGATTGCTTACCCAATAATGGTAGAATGTTGAGCATATACATAAAAATGTTGACGAAACAAACTGGCCATAAAATAAATTGTATTTAGGAATTGGATAATATTTGTATTGTTTGCAATAACTGGTACAATCTAATAATCGAAATTGGACGTCGACAGTATAGGATACACATTAACAGTGACAACTAGTGATCTACACACCCTAATAGGCGGTTAGTGCAATAAACAACTTGTATGTAAAGTATGGATGTGAGTTCATATTTATTTAAGTACAAAGGCATGACTCTTCATTGTTAAATATTTGTCTAGCATCATGTGCAGTACAAACTCTCAAATTCGTTGAGAGATGTTAAAAGCATCAAGTAACAAGAAGTCATGATATGGTGTAGATTTGAAGTGCTAAACATTAGGATTTTACCGAAGCGAACTGAAAGTGTGGTTAGTCCCAAACAGGATGGGATAAACGCCCTATGGTATGGTGAAGTGATTTCAACTTTAAAAGCAACTGTGCAACATAACACTGAGAGATGGAATCAAAGCGTTTCTGAATTTCCACTCGCAATATCCTGAAGAATGCAACTAATTATCGTCCTAATCAGATGAACTTCATTTCCAGAAACTAGTGCAATAGAAGATTTAGAAAAGCTGCAGTCTAACCGACAAAAATAGTAGCCGAAATCTTTAAGATATAACAAATTTCGATACAGTAGGAATGATTATCGATACTACACATAAGGATAGAAATTTTGACTACTTTGACCAGCGTTTCGATAACCAAACAAATAGGTTAGATACTTCAGTTTCAAAAAGGAATTAGTCTAGAACCGCTATTGAGTCCGAATTTCTAGAACGACAAGTAATTTGATTACTAGGTGACATATATATGCATCCCAATGACAAAATAACAAGCACAACATATGAATATAGATTTATCACAAGACTGCTGCTAAATAATAAAAACTTTACAACTGGGACAATACTTCTTACATTAAAACTTCCAAATTTTAAAATATCGTGACTGTACATCAGCAGTTCTAATTGATTAAATTAGACAAGAAATATATCTAAAATAAGGAACATTTAGGAAGATATTACTCAAAACAAAAAGTTTGCTCAACAAGCTTGGCTCACTACATGACTCGGCATTGGTCCTGAGAAGCCTCGTAACCGGTGAACATTCCCATTAATCTTAACTTTGAGACAATCCCCATTTTCCACCGAACTCTTGAAAGAAAAAAATTGATTGTTCTGTATAGGAAACGGTTTCACATGGGTTGCATTTTCAAATGTTTTACACGAATTCCGTGCATACAACCCTAACATCGTTTGAAATTCACGCGTGTTTAAGGGTGCTAGTATCCTAGTCTGTATTATAGCTGGTTCTGAAATCTCCACATCTGCTAATACAATGTAACTATAAAACAAAATAAGAACAATGAAAATTACACTTGGTCATACTCATTATAATATCGACAATAATTAGATTCACAATCTCGAGGAAATAGAATGTTGATTTATTGGTATGTCTAAAAGAGCACGGAGAAAAAGTGATTGATGGTCAACGTTCTCCAGTACAGTAATGTAAACAAAGTGACTAGATCGTATGTTCGGCTACTTATAGAAGTGAAATGAAAAACCACTTCTAGAGATTTTTATGACGATTGCACTGAATATCTACATACTTGAAGTAGTTTATGTAACACAGTACTTGTACCCCATTATTAAAAACAGAGTAATGAGCTTGAAGCTATACTTTTTGAATTCGATTTACACACCTCTTTAATTTACTTGTATTTCATGCAGTAAGTATGATCAAATTAATTTTTACAGACAGTGAAAAAATGAAAGTTGTTTGATGTCACAGTTGAAAGGTGAGGCTATTTAATGAAAACCTGGTAAATTTTTAGAACATATTAGTTCATTATTTCTGTATGTATGATACTAAAATCAATTAATAAAATGTGACAGTAAGACAAGCATATAATGGTGAAAAGCCGAATATACAACCTCATCCAATGAGCCACGCACGTTAAGATAACGTAAATCTCGTTCGAATACATTTTTAATTGATTGTTTTAGATATACAATATTCAACTTTTGGGTCACAAATGGAAAACACACTCTGTCATGATAAATCTAATAGTTATGATTTCTTATGAATCATTTTAGGATTTAAATAATAAATGATTTGAGTTCGTGATCAACATGCTCCATTATAAGACTGTTAAATTTGAATCCGTTCTCACTCACTACTAGATAAATACAAGTTTATCTAATCGGTGTTGAATGTACTCATGGTGTAAGGTTTCATGATAACACTCAGATGCTCAAACCCACTGGTTGAAATATGGATGTGATAGTTGTCTATTAGAATTAAAATCATACTTATCAAAAGAGAAGAGGGATATTTTTCGATTACGCACCGACATAAGCAGGGAAATCAATTATGATCACAGAGCAGTGTTTCATCTTCACTCGGCGGGACTCATTACTATTGCAAACAATTTGTAACCTAAACTTGATTGATCTTAAGTAGTGCTAAAAGTCTAATAGTGAACACGGTATAGTTAAGCCATTAAGTCGTAATACAATGGTTCATATTATTAACTTTCCTCAATCCATGGTTTATTTAATTGGCTTTTGTCGACTTGCATCACTTGTGGCGTAGGTGAGATATCCATCTTACAACCATAGGGTGAGTTTGTTACACAGTAGTTCGCTCCATCCTACTTTATGGGTATGAAACATATCCAATAAGAATAGAGGATATTCGTAGGTTACTGGTGTTGGATCATATGTCTTCGAAGCATTGTTCGTGTATTTTGGAACCACGAAGTAAACAATGTCTGGGTTAGGAATAGAGTACTAGATGAAGATGGGAAACCGATTGATGAAGGAGTAAATCTCCACCAATTTAGGTGGTTAGGACATGTGTTACATATGCCCGACTAGCGCCTACCTCGACGAACAATGTTTTTCGGCGCGAGAGTAGGCTGGAGAAAATCTAGGGGCAACCAAATCAAAACTTGGCATAAGTCCGTGGAGACATTGACTATTGGAATGAACCATGTAGATAGGTACAGACCACCCATTTAGGGTACGTGTGATCATCGTAACCAAAGGTTAAAAACTTTGAATCATATGGCTGAAAATCATTTGCGATGACGCAGGTGTATTTACTCTTGGTCATCGTCTGGATCCCAAATTCTTAAATTCCTGATAACTTTTTTCATTTCGAGTTAAAATTCAATCACTGAGATTTCACAAATATATTTTGCCTCCTTAATGTTTTATATTAACTCCGCACCCAATTACTGTGAAACTATTTGTTCAAATTTAGACGAAAGTTCTGATATATAGGAATTGTGGTAGTTATAAAAAATCAGGAAATTACGATATTAATTTTAAACGTGCTAGCATTGAAAAATAAAATCAATAAAAACTCAACAACAATTGAACAATGCCCTGGTACGGCCGAGAGTGGGGAGAGTCCGCTCTCCCTCTCGAAATGCTCTCACATGGCCATGCGTATATAGCCTCTGCCAGGGAAGTCCTACTCACTGCCTTCTCGTGGCGGGGGTGTTGTTTACAAAAATGAGAGGACGAAAAGCGAATGTCTGGCGCTTTAACCGGACCCCAAACCAATGGTGCATATGGGCTCCAGTATCCTGAAGGAACAAATGGCGTATGAACCAATCGTTGGTCACCGGCTACCATGGGACTGCATCTCCTTACGATGCTCCACTGCCTTGTGGATCAGACATTCAGGTCAAAGGCTCGGGGTGTGGCTCCCTAAGAAAACCACCTGCTTCAGTTTGGGCACCCGGGCAGTATCACAGCCCTCACACAAATCAATTGAGATTTGTGTGGCGCATATGTATTTGGTGCCTTCTTGTACCGATATCTATGTGCTAAAATAAATAAATAAAATAATGAATAATGAGAACTAATTTTACCTCTCATCGAAAATCTGTAGAATTCTATTAACAATGTTAGTGGGACAATTGAAGTCCGAATGAGGGATTTTCTCTTGACTGATCAAACGAGTAGCAGCCAAATCTACAGGCGTATGACCTGCAAAGTTCCGAGAGTCGAGCTTTGTTAATGGATGCCGCGCAAGCATGGAAGCGCATTCAATATGTCCATATTTGCTAGCAAAATGTAGGGGAGTTTCAAAGTTCTGTAAAACATAAACATTATATTTCAACTGAGTTGGTACATCTGATCGGGCACTGTAAGAAATTTGAAATGTAATTGTACAGAAGTGAACATAAAACTGATGAAACCGTGAATGACCGTTTACGAATGAATAAAAGCTTAACGCAAAATCAAGGGATTCAACTACCATATTACGTGAATTTTATTCTGATTCGAATTTATTCTGTGACTGTAAACTTTGCATTATAAGTAGACTGAGGATTGACTCTGCAACAAATTTGTTTGTAAACTGTTCCAACACTTTCAGGAATAGTAAAAACCGAAACGAGTTGGTCAAACGCTTTATCATTGACTTTATTTAAGGATTAATGTAAAGGCTATTTGTATTTTAGGTCCAGTACACGAATTTGGGTGCAGTTCTTGAGCTACATGTATTGTGGCTCGACTAGCTTTTGCCAACTTGCGTCATTTGTGGCGTAGGCGAGATATCCATCTAACAACCAAAGGACGGGTTTACTGCGCAGCAGTTCGTTCCGTCCTACTTTATGGCAGTGAAACATCGCCCGAAAGAGTACAGGATATTCGTAGGTTACTAGTATTTGATCATAGATGTCTTCGAAACATTGTTCGTATATCCTGGGACCACCGAGTAAGTAATGCAGTTGTTAGGAAACGGGTACTAGGTAAGGATGACAAATCAATTGATGAAGTAGTGAAACCTAATCAGTTGAGATGGCCGAGACATGTGTTGCGCATGCCTGACCACCGACTGCCCCGACGCGCGATGTTTTATGGTGTAGGAGTAGGTTGGAAGAAAGCTAGGGGCGGCCAGACCAAAACATGGCACAAATCCGTGAAGTCACTGACAAGTGGACTGAGCCATGTTGGTAAGTGTAGATTACCTGGTTGGGGTCCGCGAGATGATAGCAACCGATGGTTAGAGACCTTGAATGACATGGCTCAAAATCGTTTGCAATGGCGCAGGTGCATCCACCCTCTGTGTTCTCCCAAACTCTAATCTTCTGTATTCTTCATGTCTTTTTTTCCAAATCTATTCCACTTGACTATACTCCTTAAATAACATCATCAAACCCTAATGTTCCCTATCACTACTTATACTATCAATACCTCTACCATTATGAGATTTGAATCGATAACTGGATCTCTGTGCTAATGTGGTATGGCAACTCGAACTGATGTACGTACGTACGAAGTTCCACGTTGTTACTGACTGACTGACTGATTGTGGCATTCTAATTATTGTGGTAAACGCAAGTATACAACTAAAATATTTTCTATAAAACATTTCCGTTAGGTTTCATTCTCTTATTTTTCTAGAAACGTTCTAGGTATTAAGATACGTTCTATATGTAAAAATATATTGAGAAAAAAATAAACAACTCGTTACTGATGTGAGAAAACTCAGACATTTTAAATGAAAGTTTTTTACAGAATATATATATATATATATATATATATATATATATAATTCAGAGACAAATCTTGGTGGATTTAGTCGGATGTGTTGGCCTTCTGAGGGGAGATTCAGGTCTTTCATGAACATGATCTCGGAAAAACTTAATACAATATGACAACGATGCGTTTTCGTGCGACATAAATTGCCACATATGTTCCATCCCTCATGAATGCGTCTAATTCTTGTATTTTCAGCAACACATACAATACGCATACATGACACTTTCCGTATTTAAGATATTTTAAATCCCTTGTCAGTTTTGTTTTCATTTACCTCGAACTACTTTCAATCGCGGATATTTATACGTGACAACACGAAAACATTATGAAACCGAAAAATTATTGTCCACGATGTCATATGGTGAAAATTATGAAATATTGACAGTGAACTCACTCCAAGCTCAGGACTATTCAAATATAGGTCTAGAACATACTGCTGACGCCAGTAAGACGCTTCTTTAGATGCACCTGGATACAGACGTTCCCAAAATTTAGCAGAATCAATACAGTTTAGAAGAAACTGGAGCAGGTTGACGTTTCCTTTCGAAGCAACCACATGTAATGCATTATATCGAAAGCGTATCTTCAGTTTGGCGTTTGTTGTAAAAATAATCGGAAAACATGCGAAACAACTATGTAAAAATACCGTTTCTCATGTAAGACCAATGAAAATTGAAATATAACAAAATGATGGCGTGTATAAAGGAGGAAAATTAAGTATATAATGAAAGAATGGCCACATTAAAAAATTAAACAATGTGAATAATTTGATACATTAGTACTCAAATCCTCAAACCACCAACTTATCTTTGGTAACGATGTCAGCATTCCCTATACTTGGTTTGGACATGAGCTTTTATAAGCACTGAAACTGAATGTAAACGGAAGTGATTTTTAATCAGAAACTAATGGTTGAATATGGATACGAAATAACTGTTTCGTGTTAATATTCAGAGCTTATGAAAAACTTTCGTCAGAATCGATAACTTTAAGTGTTCCTCAAGATTATCTTCTTCCCTTACTTTTATTTAACCTTTTTAACAGACATTTTTTTAGAGATAACACTTTCACCGTCTGACTTATCAGGAACCGATCTTTTACCAAGGGATACTTGTTGACATAAAATACGCAGATGGTATGGTTCTGTTTGTTGATTCTGAAAAATACAGTATTCTGACCACCTAATAGAACAGTGCAAGAATGTTTGAATGAATTCCTCTCCATCTAAACGAAAAATATTACTTCAGGATCGGTTCGGGTCAACGCTTGAACTAATGATAGGGAGTGAAATAGTTAGTTGTGCTGACCAGTCCACTTATCTTGGAAATCTCAGACAAAATCTCGGCAGAAATTCAGAAAGATCAGTTGACTTCTGCCAGTTTACGTCACTTACAGTGTACCTGCGATATCCCTTTGTCAACTAAAGCATGTGAGTTTCTATTTTCAGTAAGCACATACTGAGCGTTTAGATATGGAGAATGCGAAGCCATCAGCATGAACAACCCAACGTTAAAAAGCTTACCAATGATCGGCCTGATGGTTTTTCGCCATAGATAAACCGTACTTAATTTGATATTAGCTTAATGTTTAATCTACCATGATGTTGACTGAGTTTTAAAGATTTATATACATTACCTGGAGTAAGGCTTGACTGCCAAAAACACCTTTTGACTTTTTAACACATTCGCTACTAACTTTATTGCCTACTGCTCACAGAAAATTCCTCTTGAGCTTGATTTACATGGGGTAGAATTATATCATCCTTAGTTTTGCAAAATAGTACACAAGAGGTTTTATAATCCCCGTAATTAAAAGATACCAAACTTCGTCTACCAGATTTCTGATCAAAATCGGGTTGCATTTTCAGTATTACTTTAGACATTTTAATATCGTAGTATGTCTTGGGGAGTCCATAAGAACAGCCGAATGACTTACAGGTCATGCGTAAGTATATATATATATATATATATATATGTATATATATATATAAGCAAAGTAAACAAAAGATCTACGCAAATCGTTAACTTTCAAATGAAACTAGAGCATTGTAAATGTTTAAAAATTGAACTAACTTGCAATATTGTGGGTGTGTCACTAGTCGTTACTAAAATCATCGGGTTCTCGTCTACCATTTTTTTTACAACATCAACGTTCCCACTATCTAACATTGATCGAAAGCGAATCAGGGTTTGTTGACTAACACTGGGGTATGGACTGCTTTCAACATCAGCTTTGGGTGACTTAATTTTTGTATATAAAATACTCCAACTTACTGGAGGGTAGGGGTTGAAGAGGTTCTCTTCGTCAACTGGAGTATTTGCAAACTTGTTGGCATCCACATGATTAGCAAATAACTTGAGCCTAGCACCCGTGATACCACGTAACTTTAAATAAGCCCTCTTAGGATCCACAAAAACTTCACCTTGACCTTTACTCAAAGGAGAAGCTACAGCATAGAAACAAGCTAAACAACTTCGCTTATCGAATAAAACTATTACCCTCTGACTGGCAATCGAAGAATTCATCATCCGAATCATAGCCCGGTTTGCTATCCATACCAGACACATGACTGGGACTAACCTTGATATTAAATTTTCGGTAATTTATTTTCAGGCTAACATCCAATATTTTCAAAACGAGTTTGTTTAAATCGCTCACTGCTATTTCAGACTGGTTCCACGTCTTTAGTAATATCGAGAAACTGGCAGTCTGGCCACTCGTCTGTACTCAACCTAGGTATATTAACGACAAAAGAAGAAAAAGTAAATTGGTAAATCATAGTAAGATACTATCCTTAGTCCTTAACAATATGTCAAGTTTCCTCCTAAAGGACTCCTGAGAGGTCACTTGGACTAGTTCAGCCAGCAGTGAATCCCAGCACTTGACTACTCTCAAGAATTAGGTGTTTGTAGTCCGCTCAGTTGTGTTGTGTTTCTAATATCTGGGTGTTAAGCCTAAGGTTTATGTTGTAAGTGAGCCCAGATAGGTCACTAAAGGGATGTTCAGAAGTACTTAGGATGCTGTAAGTCATTGAAAAGCCACCTCCAAGGCACCTGTACTCTAATGGGTAAAGATTTAGTGATTGTGGGCGCTCTTCATAAAGCTTGAATTCGAGTCCACGAACTGATTTCGTGGCTTGTTGTTGGATACGCTCCAGATGGTCCTGTTCCTTTTGAAGTGAGAGAAGAATTGCTATGTTTCCGTACTTTAAATAGGGATCAATAAAACTGTTAAAGATTATGTGGAAAGTTCTTCCGTCGAACTGGCCATAAATGCACTTTATTGTTACCATTGCAAGGTTTACTCGAAAGGCGCTTTTGTTACAGTTAGCATAAGATTTCAAATCGTGAGGTACCAGCACGTGAGACACCTCTTGAGCGGAGTCGCCTAAGTTGCAGCCGTAGTCTTCAACATGTCTCAGATGAACTACTTTAAACTTTGAAATTTTAAAGGTAAGTCCGTTGTTATCTGCCCAACTATGAACTCGAGTCAGACCCCGTCGAAGTGCCAGTTTATCTTTTCAGTTTTGCGTCTCTCTCCAAAGTTTCACATCACCAGCAATAAATATTAAGTCAGACAATACCTGTTGTACAAAATCGTTTATATAAATCAAGAAAAGAAGAGACGACCTCACTAGGACATTCCATAGATTGGGAAAAAATGCAGTTAACACCGACCCTAAAATATCGTTATTGTAGAAATGAAGTAAGCCAATCAATTAAATGTGATTCGACACCTAATTGTTTGAGTTTGTTTTAAGACATATATAGTTGACCCTATCAAAAGCTTTTGAGAAGCCAAAATGAACGACGTCAACCTTCCTTGCCCTTGCGACCAATGATGGTTGTCCATCTATCCACCACAGTCAGTAAGTCGATTAAACAAGAGTGACGTTTTCTGAAACCGTGCTGTTGTGGTGAAAAGAAATTTAAGGATAATAAATAGTCGTATATACCATTGCATATCGGGGACTCCATAATTTTTGAAGGTATGGAAAGAAGAGCTGTCGGTCGGCAGCTTGAGTGTCCGCTGCGTCGACCTCCTTTGAAAGTTGGTGTGACGTAAGTCAGGTCCCGATTTTCCGGTAAAGTGCCTCGGATTAGCGAGTGTGATAACACCATGCTAAGCGGTGTTGCCAGGATTGAAGCTGCTTCCATCGGTATAGCAGAATCAACCACATGAGGATCAGGAGAAGTGTCCTTTTTTGGCGCTGCAGTTTTCGGTACACCAATTCAGCGCTCAGGGTCACTTCGGAAAGTTCTGTGCAGTTTCAGACGAAGTTTTCATCAATATAGTTAATGTGAGTCAGTTGAAATGTCCAAGAGTACTGTTCAGCCAGAAGATTAACGGCATCGCCGTCGATGTTGGCCGAGCCGTTAGGAACTAGCAATTGGGAAACTCCAGTTTTGGATTGTCGAAGAGAGGCTGCATAACGGAATAAGATTTTCGGATTAGAGAAAAATTTATCGATCAGTATTATCTGGTACTGAAGCCTGTTTTCTCTTACTGACTTTGTGCAAATGTTCTTTATTTGTTTGTTTCGCATGTATACGCCCTGGTTACCAGTTCGTTTGTATTCCGCACAGCAGTGCTTTTTGCGGCTTAGCAAATGATGAGTGCGGTTCTTCGTGACTGTAGGTTGCTCTTAGATTTTGGGGACTATTTGAGGAACAGACTGCTTTGTAGCACTTAAGATGGTGTGCAGTATGAAATTCCGGTGAGCGTCTACATCAATTTGAGAGTGAATTTCCCAATCCACCTGCTGTAGATTGTCCTGTGGAGCTGACACATTCAACCATTTTAAATTCCAGTGCACGTTATTCGTGGGGTGTTTTAGTCCACTTGTGCTGATAAAAGTGAAGGCTAGGACGGCGTGATCTCTTCTCCCCAGGATCGCGAAGTTGTCACCTAGGAATTCTTCTTTTACAAATACCCAGTCAAATCGCGACGATGTCTAACTGTTTCTTCAACGAGTTACCAACTTTACATATTAGAATATTCCCAGATCTTTAATGATGTTGAAAAACTTAGCTCCAGTAGAGTTTCCACCTCCAATATACGTATGTTCCGCGAAATTAACTTCAAGGAGATTGGAGTCCCCGTTAGAATCAGGATATGAGTGAATCCGAGGCAAGTAGAGTGGAATAGTCCCTCCGGCATACTATTGTCAACCCCGTTGTCAGCAGTGGGCTTTCTGTAGATGACACAAGCTAGACACCTCGAGGTGGTAGACAATCTTACTGAACATTGTACGGATTCATCGACATTGATAAACTCTTGCCTATGCATAGATGGTGGTTGGAGGTGGTCGACAGGATACCCTGGACCCGTGTTTCGTGCTACTGGGCACTCGTCAGCAAGGTGTACCTGTAATCTTTGAGGGAACTGGTGCTCCCTGGCGGATCTGATCCCGTGTCACCCAGCTTCACAGTTAGAGACGTTGCCACTGAGCTATCCGGGCCGCGACCGACCTCCTGTAGGACTGACATGTAATCACAATTGATTGATTACTGGGTGACCAATGTCATGCGTGTCTAGTCCTTATTATTAGTGCTGATCGAATGCTATCGATCATGTTGCGGCCCGGATAGCTCAGTGGTAACGTCCCTGACTGTGAAGCTGGGTGACACGGGATCGAATCCGCCAGAGAGCAACAGTTCCCTCAAAGATTACAGGTACACCTTGCTGACGAGTGCCAAGTAGCACGAAACCCGGGTCCAGGGTTTCCTGTCGACCACCTCCAACCACCATCTAACCTTACAATAGTGCCCGCGGTGTCGAGTCACCTAGACCGGTGGCCACATTGCAACATGATCGATAGCATTCGATCAGCACTAATAATAAGGACTAGACACGCATGACATTGGTCACCTAGTGATCAATCAATTGTGATCTTGTCTATGCACTTGATTTACCTCCAGGTAGGATCGTATGTACAAGGTAACTCCACCCCAAACTGCTGTTTTCCGTCACTAGAAATAAAAAGACATTATGGATATTGCAAGAACCTGGTCCGTAAACTGAGAAGATACCCATGCTTCAGATATTCTCATCAGTTGAGCATTGCTAGCATTACTGAGTTCATGCAACTCATCCATTTTACTCGGTAAATTCGAGGCGTTCATATATAAGTAGTTTGTGCTTTCGATTTAAAACGCGTGAGCTTATGGATTTCAGTTGGCAGTCAGCGTCTGTTCGCACCAAGTTCCCCATTCGGGAGTATGGGAACGTTATCTTCGTCAGTCGGAGTCTAGAATCCCCGTACTTCTTGGCTAGTTTCACCAAGTGTTGAGTATTTTTTGAGCTTCAAGGATTGCTTGATGCGTTTGCATCTTCGAATATCAGAGTTTGTGCGGTCAGAATTCGTGTTTTCCGGTACATCTTGCACAATGATGTTTCTACAGCGAAAAACTACTCGCAAAATTCTTTAGGGATGTTCAGGATGATAAGTATTCTTATATTCCCATCTGACTTAAGTAAATGATTAGTTGATAAAATATCCTCTACATTGGTAGCGTGAGTGATTTTGGTGCTTATAATTCTTCTCTCAAGTGAGCCGTGTGACCGTCAAAGGCTCTATTTTGGGAAGTTCGAGATTCTTCTACCCAGGGCATCCTATCATGTTTGCTCTGTAAACTGAGGAGAAAGTCAGGGTTGTCTCTAAGGTTCATGATTATTAGGGAATCATCGCGAATCGTTATTGTTTTCCCAGGATTTCAGGTATGTTTATGTTGAGGACCTTGTTGTTTGGAGGTCGAAGCGCGTTTCTGATTCTTATGCTGTTTGCTAACCGGTTGAACATTCTTGAGCGTAGACTGTGCGACCACAGTTAACTGGTAACTTAGGTAAAACTCAAAAAGAAAAGTAATCGACCAAACGTAAACCTCAGGATGGATTCTTTGAATTAAAAATGGCACTTTGTTGCGTAAGTTTGAGAAACGCAAATCACGTTAGAGCTAAACGTCCCGTTCGTAAAGCGCGCTCCTTGACAACATAAATCGTGGAGAGCGACATACTGATAAGCCATAAAATCGGTCAGAGAATTAAAAGATAGAACACATGACGACCTACTTGAGTTCTTGTTATATAAGGGCACTTGATAATGGTGTGCAACACACTTATCTCTCCTGGTCACTCATACAAAAATATCTTGCCTGTACCTCTACGTTGCGTCTATCGATAAATTCCACATCAAGAAGCCAATATCTAAATATGATCACATTCGTTTTCGTTACGAATGAGCGCTACTTGAAACGCTCTCATATACGATATGACTCCAGCAACCTTAATGAATAGCAGTAGATTAAGAGACTAAATATTCACCCTTCGACAGGTTTTGGAACACAGACATACTTTTTGATGTCAAACTATAATTATATTCCCTGAACTTAAGGCAGCGTTCGACTCCGTTGATCGTGAGGTTCTTTAGCAATGTATGTCATCGAAAGGAATAACAAAGTGCATTAACCGTGTACAGACTCTCTACTCCAACATTAATGGTGGAGTCACAGCTTATGACCAAATGTCATAGGAATTTATTACTTTAAGTAGTGTTCGTCAACGTTATCCGCTTTCCCATTTTTTTAATTTTGTCGTAGACATGTCTTTATCGCTAACATTTTCATCGTCTGACTTTTCAAGAATTGATGCCGACAAGATTCAGTTTCCTGACCATCTTAGGCAACAACGCATACATGTTCAAGATGTGATCCTCTCCCTCCGAATGCAAAATATCGCTTCGAAGTTGGTCAACGTCATCCCTGATAGGGAGTAAAGTGATTGAACGTACTGACCGCTTTACTTGGGAGTCACCCGTCCTGATAGCCTTGTGTCCGACGAGATCTCAGCAAGGTTTCAGAAAGTTTGATTAGTGTTTTACGACTTGCGTCACTTGTGGTGAGATATCCATCTACCAACCAATAGGAGAGTTTTCTGCCCAGCAGTTCGCTTCTTTCTAACTTATGGATGAAAACACGGCAATAGAAATAGAGGATATTCGTAGAATACTAGTATTCGATCAAAGGTGTCTTCAACACATCTTTCGTGTGTTTTGGGACTGCAGAGTAGCCAATGTGCGGAAAAGAAGCGGAGTACGACGTGAAGATAGGAAATCTTCATTAAATGAGTTGGTTAGTATATGCGTTACATATGCCCAACCACTACCTACCCCAGAGAGCGATATTTTCTGGTGCGGGAGTGGGTGGAGGAAATCTAGTGTTAGCCAATCTAAAGCATGGTAACAATCCATGAAGTCACCGACAACTGAACTATTCATTTACTCATTCTATCCGTTAGCTTATCTTTGATCCTCTGGATCCTAAAACTTAGTTTTATAGTTTCTCACAATTCAACCGACCAATATTTTGTTCCATCATGCGATGGCTACTGGTCTAACCAACTCCGTCAACTTAAAACAAAGGCACTGATTTATACCAAAAATTAAGCCTCAATTAAGATTCAGATTTGTGAAGTAAAGACAGAAGTCTCACCGCCTATGTTATTCCGTCTCTAGTATGCTTCTGTGAGTGCCTAGTCTTCGATTGAATGAGTTAATCGAAGGTGCGGACACCACTACTTCGGGTATCAGGTTCCAAGAATTGATGACTCGGTGTGAAAAACCTGTAAGCCTCTAGTATTTTACTATCAAATCATTTTGCATTAGCACAACAGAATGACTACACTAACCACATTAGACGACTCCAAAATACGTGACCGTACTGTAGAATCAAGAAGGGACGACAATTGTCGTCTCTCTTTAAAGAGAGCAATCGATTTACACAGACTTGTGACAAAGAGGTTGGATAAGGAAATGCGGTCTTTTTGAGTTATATTGTGTAACGGGTTCGAAATATCATGCTGGGTTTTCTCATTGTGGATGTCCAGTTGTCTTAGTTGGTAACTATCACTGTTTGTTTTCGATTGCCTTTATTATTAAGCGTAAATGCGTTAAATGTACTTACTAAGCTGTCGGTTCATATCTTTTGATCTTTTCGGAAAGAGATCTCTTTCCGGAAGAGAGCTGGCCAACTCGAGTTGGCCAGCTCTCTTCATTAACATTTTCTTAACATCTAAAGTGCTTTCAGGTTGGACAGTGTACGAGCTGCCAAGTTTTTTTTAGACTGACAGACTACTCGCTAACAATGTCTACGTATCGATTCTCGGTGGTATTTGATTCACACTGAGAAGTCCGACTTGTTTTACTCGGTCAACAGTTTCAGGGGAACAATTATATAATAGGTACCCAATCAACCAATAAAGGGGAAATGAAGGCGAAAAAAGGAAATAAAAGGGAAAATGCTTTGGTAAAGAAAGGGGAAATAAAGGGGAAAACGCGCCAAAATGTCGCCTTTTTCGCCTGTTCGGGGGAAATAATACGGATTTCCCCTTTTTGTCGCCTTGTCGCTAACTTGTCTACTTTTCGCCTAAATATCCGCCAGATTGTCTACTTTTCGCTTAAATATACGCGGAATCGCCTACTTTTCGCCTAAATGAACACAAAATTGCCTATTTTTGATCCAATTTTTAAAACGCTATTGGCATATTACCAAAGGTCTCCTATATTCGTCTTTATTTCCACAACAAACCACAGTGAAACCGCAATGGACGAGAAAAGCGGTATAAATTTAAGTAGTTTTATTTCAAAGGAAAAGCGAATCATTGTACAACATGATAACGGAAGCTTGCAAGTTCATGCTTGTATGCTCATGAGCATCAATCGTTTTGCATTTGCATTGCAAATGCCAATGCACCGTCGTTTGAAAAGATTTGCAACAGAAGAATCAGGTGATGTATTATTTATAACACATGTGCATTTAGTCGCAAGTTCACTGACAGTAAACTTATAAGTTCTCTTACAAAATAATGTTTATTAAAAATTAAGTACAACGGTAAAATAATGCACAGATTACGTTCTTCAGCCACGTATGTTTGACTATTGATAGTGAGAACAGTCTTCCTGTGAATTCTGAAGTGTAAAGAACAAAAAAGTCAAAACAATATCTGAAAAACATGCTAAAGCATGTCCCAAGACAGCCAGATACTTTAAGCTAAACTTATGGTTATGTTCGTTAATACTGTTGACTGTAACTATAAAGCAGTAGGGAAATTATCACTTTAAATTAGTACATACCTGCTCTTGTTTCCGTCGATTACGCTTCATCAACTTGTCTCTGACGTCATTAAAATAACATTGTGTCGCGATGTCGTACAGTTTCGCAAGGTCTTTTTCGTTCACGGAGGATGACAAGAAGCGATTCGTCAATGCACCTAAAGTTTAATTTATAAGTATAGGTTACTTCGTATGCAGCCATAAAACCGGCATTTCTGAAGTGCGCGCTTTGAAGAAGTGCCGAGCAACGTGAAATTACTGGCCACCTCAAGTGTCATGATGTACGACAAAATATAACGCATTGACGTTTTAGGGTCATCACCGATTAACCTCGTCAGCATCGCCATCTGTTATACGAAGATGTTAGTAAATTAATGTTGTTGACTTACAAATCTGTCCCTGGTTTCCTTCTGCTGCAAACCATTGTCCAGCATTTGCAGTTTTGCTTCCGATGACAAAGGGAACTGCTGACTTGATACTCCGCAATCGAATTGATTAGGATGTTCGCGTTCACTGAACTTCGCTAGTAGTAGCTTTACATTTGTACTCAATTCAGTAATAGCTGACGATATGTTCTGCATCATTGTATACTTTGTCAAATAACCGAAATTTCGGATAATGCACGTAGCTATTTCAAGCCTGCATGTCGGCCACATCCATATCAACTGAATTATAAAGAAATCCTTCTTTACGCTTCAATGCACCTCTAAGAAATGTTAGTAATATTATTGTACAGACCTCTGGTTTTTCCGTGTTTAACGACAATGTGTTCTCTTCGGTTGACGTGTTCTTGCGATGCAGCTCCAGTATTTGGAGGGACACCAACATGTCCTTGGCAGACTGCAGAGAATCTACAGTAAATTATAGTTTAAATGTATTTTACTCACCGATTTCGTGAATTACTTTGCATTTGCGAAGTGACCTGCTGTCATCTGGTTTATCGTAGTTTTGCAGGTGGATGTCCACCAGCTCCGTTGAAAAGAGGCAAAGGTCTTTACCAAAAATCCACTGCTTGGCTGCAATCATACGCTGTTTTTTGCTAGGAACGTCAACAATGACATATTGTTTGTTAGCGGACTAAACATAACATAATAGTTAATGAAATGGTTTATGGTCATGAATGAAGCACAAATAGAACAAAATACATTCACAGTAAAGTATGTAACAATGGAACTATCACTAAATTATTGATACAATTAATGGCTATACATTTACAGTCAATGTCCTTAACCGATATCAATGTATGTTCATGGCTAACTACGGAGCACATAAGTATTCCTATATCACTGTATGGGAAAGGATCTTCGAAGTAATTGCGTGGGTCAGTGAAAGATCGAATTTTCAGTAGTCCGTCCTCCCGTATATCAGTAATTAAACCAGGTTGTCCTTTTACTACTACCACGTTATCAGGCTTAAATAAAGTTATTTTACTATTATTAAAAGTAATTTCTTGTCGCTTGGAGACCTCCTATCGCAGAACGACATTTTTTCAGCATAACGCTGAGCTGCTTGCTTAGCAACAGCATACCCGCTGTGCACAGAATTCTTTATTTGTCTCATGTAAGACTCGAATGGAAGGGCTGAAAAGCAATCTAAAGGTCCATGTGCACGAACATCGTCAGGAAGGTGCTGTAACAAATGCACATTGTAAACTAAGTTTTCAGACCCATAACACCATTCGTATTCCTTAAGAAAGTTTCTTAAGTCTATTTTGACAGATTCTACAACGGTATTATGTAATTTAGGGTGTGCAAGCAGATAAATGGATAACGCCAGACGCCGGAAATTAAGAAACAGAGGTTTCGGCAGTGTTTTTTGCAGAATCACTGGTCCTAAATACAGAAGGAACAATCTACATTCCGAAGCTTTCCAAACAGAAACGAAGTCTAGTGTGCGGCATTTGCGCTGAAAGTCTGACGGAGTACTTGCCACGCAACCAGATATTAAATTATTTATGTCCCCAATTGCACATGTTAAGCAGTCGTTTGTGTGCAAATTCTATCCATAGATTAGCTAACTTTTTGGTGACACCTAGGTACACCAAGTGCATAGGATCTAGAGGAAAAGTTGAGATCATATTAATTGAAAGCGTTTCCATAATTGAATGGCCTTGATGGTGAATAGATTGAGTCTGACGACGAAAGCTGTCATCCGTTCTTAAAGTATATTCACCATTTGGAAATGTCATTTTCCCCTCAAGCCGTCTCCCAAGTACAGTACACCGATCGCAACCTGCCTTACCATTGTGATTAACTGTATACCTAATTGCAGAACAAGCAGGTGCGTCACATATTACACAAGATAACTTAATAGTTATGTATTTATGAAACTTAGTACTAAACAGACCCACGTCAGTCATTTCTTTTATTTCAGAAATTGTGTCAGCAGATAATTCGTTGAACTCTGCCGGTTTACTATTCTCTCCGTAGATCCCTATCATGAACACATCACTACACCTTAGGGCAATGATCTGTCCTAATATTGGCCATAATTGTTGATTAGATCTCCTAGACATAGATAGTCCATCTTCATTAATATGAAAATGTAAAGTATCGAATTCAAAAGTACGCAACCAAAGTGCAACATATCTTAGCAGATTGGCTTTCAATCCGAGGTGATAGTAAACCCCACTGCTGATGAACTGTGGTTGGACACTTGTACACGTCCTTAGAACACTTCTGATGCTCCTTGGTAAGTCCGGAACCAGGTCTCTCAAAGCATTCAGAATTCGATCTGCATCACTGATGCTAAGAAAGGTGTTTGTAAGTAATGTCATCAATACGTTGTTGATCTGGTCTTTGCGATTAACAAGCTTAAGCTTGTTAGTCACGTCCAAATATCGGCAGGAAAATGACTATAACAGTAAAAATGTCTTTTTTGAACTTGCGACTCATATGGAAGTCATGTTATGCTGAATACGGTTACGTGTTAGGAGTATTTAAATAAAATAATCAAGTAGAATCAAATATAGAGTATGTAGCTCATGTAGATTAACTGTTAGATATTCTTTCCATTACCGTGATTGTGGTGTGATTGTTAATCACTACTGGTTCCTGCTACACCTTACGGGCCACAAGCCTCCAACCAAGGATCTCCGCTCAACTCTATCCTGGACCATTCTTTCTAGTTGTTACCAAATGCCGTTCGCGCTCCTGACGTCTGCCTCCAACTTCTGGCTTCATATGTTCTTTAGTATTTATATCCTGAGTAAATGAAAACCACTTTGGAGTTTACACTCCTGATTTTTATATTAATTAGTGTTTCAAATCCAGGTTTTTAGCAGAATCGTTAGCGTGTGTTGCTATATCTGGAGGGATATTGCTTTTTGCTTGATTGTTCATCAACTTTGAATATAAAGAAATCTACCTGATAAGGTCTGCTGTAAACTTTGTTTTAAAGATTGATTCACTTTTTCACTCACTATTATAAACTACTCAAAGAAAAGTGATAGGGTTCGACTGGTCCATTAACTAGGTCATTGAAATGGTCAAAGTAAAGTACCATTAGTTATTATCGACTGTACATTCATTTGACTATCGACTATCAGTGACCATTCCAGTCAGCTACAACGTAGGACCAGGTAGATATATTTATTTTATTTTATTTAAACACAAACATAGGTACAAGAAGGCACCGAATAGATATGCCCCACAAATCGGTACATATATGCACTGGTCCAAGTTGCCACACCTCATTAACACAACAAGATGAACACGAAATTCAAAGCGTACTTACTTCAATGATAGTAATATATAAAAGAAAGATTGCCTATAAGAATATAATACAGGAAGAAAGAATTAGTTGGTAGAAAGGAAGATATAAAGTAATTTTAATCTCACGGTTTAAGGGAAGACAAAAAGTGTATACAACTACGCCATTGTGATCGATTCTGAGCCATGTCACCCAGAGTCTCTAATCATTGGCTACGATAGTCATGCAGACCTCAACCAGGTAGTCTGCATCTACCAACATGGCTCAGACCAGAAGTTAGTGACTTCGAGGACTGATGCCACGTTTTTGTTTGGCCGTCCCTAGCTTTTTTCCAATTATCCCTAACACCAGTAAGCATTGCGCGTCGTGGTAATCGGTGTTCAGGCATACGCAACACGTGGCCCAACCATCTCAGTCGATGAAGATTCACAACCTCATCAACTGATTGACCATCATTCCCTAATACTCTGTATCTAACCTTACTATTACTTACCCGGTGTTCCCAGAAGATGTTAGCAATGTTTCTAAGACATCTGTGATCAAATACTAACAACTTACGAGTATCTTCTACTCTTAATGGTCACGTTTCGCAGCTGTAAATTAGAAGAGAACAAACTGCTTCGTAGTTTACTCGTCCCTTAATTGATAGACAAATATCTCGCCTACGCTATATGTGACGTAAGTTGACAAAAGCCAAACGAGCTTTTTGAATCCGTGTAGGGATTTCGTCAGACACCAAAGTAATAGGGCTGATCAGACTTACAAGATAAGTGAAGTTGTCGATGCTTTCGACTAATTCACTCCTCATCCTTAGTTCAGGTGTTGACGCTGGCCAGTCTCGAAGCAACAACTTTCTGAGAAATGTTTATAAATATACTCACATTTGACTGATCATGATACTGATACCGGTAGTTAATCATTGGTAAACTAAGTGATTGATCTGTGTTATAATTTGACTGTTAAATTAAATGAATGAAAAATTAATCGACAGACAAGATGCGGTAAATTATATGGCAGAATGATTACTACTACTAGATTAATACAAACTTTTGAATGAATTAACATCCAAGACGTATTGACTAGCCATTTTAATAGTTTTTTGTTTTAGATTAAATAGCTCATGTATACAATACACTATACATGAGAAAAAGATAGTTAAAAGTCAGTGGAAATATAAGCGATTCAAAATGTGAATCTCATTAGCCCAAAAAATACAGACCTGTCAATTAGGCTTTTTTCTTGTTCGAGATGTCAATGACTTAACCAATGTTTTGAATATGTTGTAGTTTAGCTTAAAGTTTTCAGCAATAAAGACAATTCTGTAATCAATTAATAAATATTATACGGAACTGTGTGGATTTGGTTCATGTAACTTGAAGTGTATGTTAATTACTGCAGCAGTAAGTTTCACATATTGAATCTCATGTTTTTTATAACATATTGACTTGTCTGAAATGTTTATTCTCTGGATTTTCAGACTCCTAAAACTGTTACTTTGGTTAATTTATTTTGAATATTCCAAAGCTTATATGGCTTCAGCACAGGTTTATCGTTTCCAACAACGTATATCATATCTTCAATCTCATCATAAGCTTGCATCGATTCGACATTGTGAGGCTGTTAATAACTATGTCAGTCAAAACAATGAATTAATGAAATCGTTGATGGCTCATTTAAAGGCTCCAGATAAAAGTGTGAAAAGAACTAAAAGGATTACGAAACCTCGGACGGCACATCCACAGGTAAATCATCTCAAAATTTTTTGTTCATTTTTCAGTTAGTGAAATCTGCACGTTTTTCTGCCAAGTCATATGCTATGCAGTCAACTGTCGAGCAATTTAACGCTATACATCAACATTCATTATCCAGGCAAACAGACTTTGTGAACCAATGTTTACCTGAAGAAACATGGAATAATTTCGGTACACAGGCAACTAATGATGATCCTTTTGTGTGTAATTCCAAAGAACCGATATTTCCACCACCGACATATACAGAACCAAGTTTAAATTATGAACCAAGCATACTTGATGATTGCTTGTGGGAAATATGGAATGGAGATAATAATGTTCTTCAAAGCAAGCACCCAATAAGAACACCCCAAACAAGTTATACTTCGTGTGATAAAATATATTCAGGTGATACCCCATCTTCTATCTATAACGGTGCTCAAGAGAAACAATATTGGAGTCGTGGTGACGTGTCACTCGATATTAAGCAGCAGACATTAAGTCCTGTTCCTGGTTATAACTTACCAGCTGCACAACCAAGAGATTCTTACTGGTTGAAACAATCCACTTCTTATGGTGAATCCAAGCACTTACTTTCTGTCAATAAGCATGATCATTTGTATCGTAATGAGCCGTTGTGTACTGTACAAAATTCATTCTCTCCTAATCTGAACGTCAGTTGTAGGAATAGTAATTCTTTGCTGACTAATCAAATAACCAATTATTCAGCTGAGTTTTGTACATCGAATTCTGGTTACGAGCTAACCGGATCGTCGAAAAACCATATTAATCCGATTCTAGTATCTACTTATCCGTCGGTAGGATCTGACATAAACCATTATCGATCAGCAATTTTTGATCCTGATGAATGTTTTAGGCCGTATTATGATTGTACTTCTTATCATCCATCCGGAAGCAACAACAATGGTAGTAGCAGTGGTGGTGATAATACCAGCACCAGTAATTATCATTTTTATGGAGCAGATCTGAACGCCCTACAGTCATAAACATCAAAATAATCAATGATATGAAAATCTACTTTAGTTCCTTTACTCAACTTTAATTTATGTGCACTTGTGTTGTATTCTTCTGTTTTTATATTTCCACTTCTAAGTTTCTCCATTTGATTTCTAATTGAGATAAAACGATCAAGAATGATTTTTGTGATACACATTAAGAAAAAGAACTGGACAATTCGTTGTGTCAAACTAATATCTTTGTTTTTCGCTAACCTGATTTCTATTTGTTCATATGATTTTATATACATGTATACCATAACTGAAATGTACAGTTTTATTCAAACTGGAATATATAAATAATTGATAAGAGGACATGAATAAATCATGATACAGATTCTTTTATATGTTGGCCAGTTCTGTGGTACTTTTATTTGAATATTCCCCGCTCTAGATTAATCCCAGTTATTACTGTACACCTCTTGTCTGCCGATGGATATGGTATTTGAGTTCAGTAGACAGACATATGATACTGCTATCGAAATATATTTTTTTATTATTAGTGGATGATGAGTGTGCTTTATATGTTGAATTACTGTTTCTTTCAACGAAATGATATCCCGATTTGAAGGTAAGATGCAAGGCAGAACTCCGTGACCGAAGATCAAACAACATCATTAGATCTCATAAAAAACATAACTGTACAGTTATTACAGTGTCGGATGACCATCACACTATATCAAATCTTGGAAGATAAAGTATTCTCCAGTAATTCGATTAATATTAGTCAGGAAAGGCTTTTCATTGCATCGCCATTTCGAATTTCTAGACCTCACGCAGTAAGTTGATTTCAATCCCCCAGAACTTCTATTCCTAGTATCTCACTCCTTAGAACACCAACAAAACCTATCTAGCACCTAATATTAAGAATTAATCCAAGTTGAAAATATGAGCCAGTTTTCTGAAGTTTAAGCGCTCCCTTCGGGGCCTGAAAAATTTGAATTCAGTCCTTGGTTAACCATGTGTCCCCTTCACTAAGAACTCACACAAGTAAGAAACACTTGTCCCGCCGTTTCTCAATTGTGTCTATGCTAATATCAATCCGTGATGAAAACCACTACACATCCTTATTTTGTCTACTTATACAACTAGGTCCTTTTCTGTTTGACTTTCGGTAGCATTTTTGCTTAAAAGGATAAGTTGTTTTATGACATTTCGATTCGTTTGGGATGATTTGTATTATGCAGAAACCTCGCGGATCTGCTTTTGAGTGGCGGAGCAATTAGGGCTCCGAAAGTACTATAATTCAGAATATTCAAATGGATTCTCAGCAGGATAGCAAGAGCCTCATGGTGCTGCTAAGGTATCATATTTTCAGCATGATTGAGTAGTATACTTATCTACCGAGGACCAACAATAATTTCTACTATTGGAGTTGCAACAAACATTTCACGATTGAACTATGTACTGACTAATGCGTACTTCGCTGAATTCCCGGAGTTAAGTAGCGACCTATCCTTAACGATAAGATTGGAGGTAAACTGAAGATTTTTATGTCAAATAGTTGCTTAGTTGTAGAGAAGAATAATTAGTGTAAAATCCAGTGAAGAATAATACTAATGCTTTTACTGACTTCTAGGTCTGGGTGGTTTTACCGAAACTCCACGCTCACTAAGGTTCACTCCATCTATATAAAATAACTGGTAGTTACGATTTTTACTCAAAAACTGAATAATGTTCCGAATAATTTCTAATTGTTCAAACTTATCTATCAACCTGGTAGCAAAAGAAGTTGGTAATTCAAACTTGTCTCAAATATCTCTGTCAATGCAAACCAACCAACCACAATAAAAAGGAAATTTGCAACGTAACCGCTGACAAGAATAAAATGCTTTGTTTATTAATGTAAAAGAAACAAAGGTTGATGTGATAAAATGGAACGTAAATTAGTCTGTTTACAGTATTCAACAAGCAAACAATAATGACACTGGTGAGGCATATGTATACGATATTATGCAGTCGATATATAAAGGAATAAGTACCTGTATACACACATATTCAGGAGGAGCATTCAATAGCTTAAAACAATACAACTGGGACAGACAGATGAAGTTTTCTCGAATAGATCGAAGGAAATGCTGCAAGAATAAAAATTGAGATATAAATTTTTATAAGTTTAAATAATTACATTCAAAAGGACAACGCACCATAGATATCAAGGTACTGTATATGTGTAACTAAGTAGTAATACGTAGCATTAAAATAATTTGTACAAGCAGATTAGATAAACGGTAAGATGAATCGCCTTAAATGAAAGGAAAACGAAGGGATAAAGGTTCCCATTAACGGGGATGTATATTTGTAGGAAGACTTACAAAACAGCACGTAGTTTGTGTATTATCATGAAACCTGTATGGTGTCATTAAAGGGAAAAGAAGTAACATTGAACTAATCAATCTTGTCTGATCGTTTCACATGTATATCTGCTCTTAGAGGATTCAAAGTGAGATCTAAGGAAAAGAAAAGACAGAATTATGACAATAGTTAGAAATGTTAAGTAGGTTGGTTTTAGAATAACTAATGTCATTCTTTTATACATTACCACCATTGAATTAACTACTATGAATTCGGTGTTCATTTTGTTGCTATGGCAACTTGGACCGATGCTTATATGTACCTGGTCCTGCGTTGTAGCTGACTGAATGTCCTGATATATAAACCTCAGTGTTAACTAACTTCCATAAAACTATTACTCGGTAAGGTAGTGATCACTTAATTATGGAACATGATATACCGCTGCACTTCAAACAATGTATTTTTAAACTAATAACTCTTTCGTAATAATCTCTGGACCACACGTTTATTGCGTGACACGACTACTCGGCTACCGAAACAAAGGAAGGCGTGACGAGGTTTAATCACTTGATCGGATAACTAAAAGCTTACTGCTTTAGCAACTTAGCCACAGCCAAACTTAGATTTGAAGGTAGGTCCTCTTTATTCTTCTGAAAAGGAGTCAACACTATTTGGTCTATTCCACAGTTCAGACTTACTGCCTGTGATTCTTTTTTCAAAGCAATAGAACTAGGGACGTTGCTGCTAAATCAACAACAGAGTTTAGTTAGAATTAAGGGATAAATAGCGTGATATTTGAAATTACCCAGTAAGTGGTATCTCTGAATACGTTACAGAATGTGGCTGGTCTGAATCTCGAAGTAGGTATATGCCTTTTCTTGATTTCATATTCGTCTTGCTGTTCATTCCATCCAATCGTCTTTATGAACTTCCACACTCAAATTTCTGATATTTGGTAGTAACTGTTTTGTCAAGTGTAGTGGTTTCATAAAGAACAGAGAATATATGTAATCTAATACTGGAGACATATATGTACATCATTCCGAATGATTATCTATTTTCTTTGGAAAAGTGTGATCGTATCGTCTTTTCTATGTTAACAATAATCAACATTTTTCTAAGATGTTTTATGAGATTTGTACGATGATCATCGTCACGAACTGATATATCAACTGGAGAACCGTTGAGTTGCTTGATCCCATTTTCGGACACCTCACTAGTGCACACTTATAATAATATATGAGATTGAACTGAGAAGATTCAGATCTCATGTTGAACTTGAATCCGATAGTAAATTTTGTGATTACCTTACGTGCAACTATTGATAATATTTATATTATATAACTATTTGACACGGATTATAGCATTCTTATATTCTCCTGTCTGTAAGCTTTTCGTCTGGTTCATAAACTATTGTTGTGTTTTACTTTCCTTAAGTTGTTTTTGGTTAATAACGGACACCTCACTCAGTGTATATTTCACTTATGGTGTAGTCATGAACACATTGTATTTTTTCCATTTATGTTTACATTGCCAGGAATTTACTTTATATTACTGAGAGGTTTGAGTCGTAATGATAATCATACAACAGAGATCTTATCTACTTGCTGTGTTCTCTTATCGGACTAAATATGAGGGGTAAGGAGAGAAAGCCGCATCGCCGACAGCTCAAGATGATTCGCTGTCATTCAAAGCGCAGAACGTTAGTCAGTAAAAAGTAATGATTTGGATTCTGATTAGTGAATCAAGATTTCAGTGTAACTTAATTACAACAAAAGGATATTCTAAAATTATATGAATCTCTATACAAGATACTTTGGTAAATGATAATCGCACTACCGATAGTGATTGGTTTCGAGATGGTCTTGTTGGAGTTTGATAGAAAGCAATGAACTATGGGACAAAATTAATTCAGAAGTGGGACAGTAATTCGTTAACGACGAGGGTCGAAGATTGAACTACACAACGCCCGTAGACTCAAGTTAGGATTCTGAACCATACATTTTTATTCAATGGCCGGACTGTGATGTAATTACATTTCTAATGATCATGTTTATTGCTAAATCATGTATTACTTTTAACACTCACTAGGATTTTGTTGTAATATATCCTTATTTGACGAGTAATTGATGAACACTTATATTTTATAATTTTGACTGTTACCACTTATTCATTTTGTTGTAACCCCCAACACTATTCGAAATAGATAAATTACCGAAGACTAAATTGTAGCTGCTTATATTATAGCTAAGCATAGACTGTTGGGTCAATTATTATTACGGATAGCACTCGAATAATATATTCTTACCTATTATCACTTTGTGATGTATGGTACATGATTAAACAATCAGAAGAAATTCGTTTTGAATTGTTTACAGTAAACTTTTTAAATTCAATCTAAAATGCTATTTGGAACTTACTGTGTAGTATATCATCCATTAGACCGTCTGTATCCAGTTGACGAGTACGTGGCTTACGATGACGATTTTCACGTTTTGACGAGGATGGGATCTTTGTTCAACAGAGAATAAATGAAAAATGAACAAGTATGATACCAACTTGTCACCAAAATCTTTCTAAACTTCTATTGGCCAGAGATGTTGCTACACATTTTCCTTTGTAAAACGCTTTCATATCAAAAATTATTTCGATGTTACCAAGCGTTAACAATATTGGCACTACTAAACCTGAGAAAATGGACCAATCACAATCCACAGAATGAGAAGTCCACATTAAGCCGACTGAAGTTCTCCTATTGACACGTGCAAGTTATTGTTCACGAAATAGTTTTACATTCTAAGGAGTACATATACACGTACACACATAAATGAGTTTTTATTCATTTGATTCGGTTTGATCTGATAAGCTTCCTCTTTTGCTCTTAGTCTTCTCACTCAGTAGCCGACCGGGTCTCGCACATAAATTTGTGTATCAGTATCAATCTTGAATACTGCAAGCCATAATATAACCAATCTCTAGAATTCCGCAACGCTTAAACGAATGCCTGGAGAATGATTTCTCGACCTTCAGTATGCGGATGATATTGTCTCACTAGGTGATGATACCAAAGACTTGGAATCTGCACTCATTCAGTTGGCCATTAGTGTCCGTAGGTTCGGTATGTGTTTTACACCTTCTAAGTTCATGAAGTGTATGAAGAAAATTTTGGCACCTGAGAACTGATAGAAAGATTTCACGACTAAAGATAAGCGGCAGATACTAACTATTGAAAAAGTCATTTATACAACATAATTCTCGAATAATTTCAACTTGAATGTATGTTAATGAGAAATTTATTGCGATGTTGGACAACCGATGTTGAAAGCTCCTTACTGTAACATGGTTCATAATAATAAAACGAGTACTATTATTATTATTAAAAATAATATATTTGTTCCATCTGAATGAGTAGAAAAATGACATTTTCCGACGTTTCGTGACTACGTGTCAGCCATTTCCTCAGAGAATAATTAAACAAATTAAATTAACCCAAGTTTAAATAGTACAAAGGAATCAAGCAAAATTACTTAGTAGGACTAATCAAAAAGGCAGTTCTGGCTAAGTGGATGACATGTCATTTTGTTTAATGTTATTTATGTGAGATTTATTGTGTTAATGGAAGAAAAACTTGACATTCGTAGTGTAAAAGGATAGAGTCGAATCAATATGTATGATAACTATGTGAGATGTGAATAGAATCTGATATGATACCTCGGACAGATGGTCCAAGTCGGATGGATAGTAAGGACTTTTATATTGAGGGCAGTTAAATCTAACAATATATGGAGAGCTTCAGCTACTGAGGCTTCTTTGTAGTTGGGATAACCTTATTGTATTATTTTGATATTTTTAATATCGACTTGATTAATAATTATTGTTATGATCACATATCAAATATATTGGACAATAAAAACATGTCAAAGAGACAGAATTGGTTGATAAAGATTGTAAATATTTTTTCTAGAATATAATTTTTAAATCATTACAACTACAATGTATACTAAAAATGAATTTACTGCAATATTGCATGTTTTGTGCCGAGAATCCTTCACTGAGTAAATTAATATTATATGAAAGGGTTAGTAAAAATGTTAGGAGTGAGGCCTGATTGGTTGTTCTGTAGCCTACACATTTCCATTCTCGACTAGTTAATGGTTACATGATTAGTCTTATTACCTTCGTTGGAACTTTTTTCTATCTATGACAGTTTAATTCTGATAATAACTTATTTAATATGGCCTTGAGTCACGCTCTAACTGTGAAGGTCACTGATACTGCTTGGGTGCCAGAAGTAGGGGGGCGGGTTTGAACCTTCGACTCAGTGACTTAAAGTCGAACCACTGAATCACCTCTCCACTGCTCTAATAGTATATTCATTTAATTAACTAGTAATTCTATTTTACATAGTTTATTTACAGTTGGAAAACTTGTAAATTGGTTGTACGAAACAACCGATTCATTTAGTGTCAATAAAAGTATTCAAATAATTTTTGTCAATTATATCAGAAGTTGATTGTGCCATAGTAACCTTTTTGTAAAAGAAAAACAACAACAAAAAGGTGAAATTCCTTTTTCAATGGAAAGTCATAACAGAATTAAATTTAATACCTTTTCATGTTCTTTTAAATGTTTTTGACTGTGACGATGATGTAAATGACTAGAAGATTGAGTATCGTGTATATTTAATGAGGAATTTTGTGAATGACGTGATTTTTTATCGAGATCATTGACACAATTCTAAAAATAAATTAGTAAAAGTATAAATATTATTTATTTATTTGTTTATGAACTATGAATCTTTCTATTATAAGCATTGATTAAAACATAAAATTGCTTCAAAGAAATATTTCCATATGTCTTGACAAATCGATTGCAACTTTTGGGATTCTGTTAAATTATCTAAATTCTAATTTACAGCATTTTTATGGTTTAAGATGTCGATTATAAATTAGGGAAAAAACAGAGCGAGTGTTATGTCTAAGACTGTGTATGAAATAAACTTACGGAATACAATTAAGATTTCTTAAATTGTCTTTAATAACATTAATTTGATGTGTGCATCAGTTGTTTGATATTACTGATTTACTTCTTAGATTTAAAGAAAACCATGAAAATTTAATTTTGCACCTTATAGTTTGTCGGTATGCAGTTTCTGCAATTACACTTGCACAGAGTGGCTATCTCCAATAATTTTGAGAACTGAAGTGGCTAAAAAATGATATCAATGGAAAAATTGTTAGACGAGTAAAACTCTTGTCTTGTACTTGTAAGCTTTGATATCGGGTTCCTAACCGCTTCCTAGTCCATATAAATCTACTTTTAAGCTTCAAACAGAAAACAAAAGGAGGAAGGATAAGAGAAGCTTCAACGCAAAAGTTATTTCGTTTACAGACAACAAGGGCATTTTATAGTAGCAAATGTGACCTTAAGAATCTAAAAGGTTGTGAAGAACATGTTAAACGAATTGGGCAATTGTTCAATCGGATCATGATAATACAATCCGTCCTTTTATAGAATTCATTCAAAAGTCCCCCAACAATCCTGATTGTTTAAAGTCCACAATTTTTCCGACTTTTAAAGACATTTTTGGGGAATTATTGATGGCTTAGAACGAATTCCTGATTTTCAACTAATCAATGTTGACAGATGATACCACGGCTTCAGAGGATAATTAATAAGCAGAAGTGTATTTATTAATTTCTGTACATTTTTTACCCCGGTATTTCTTTGAAATATATTTTACGTTTAATTTAATTCTGTTTGTGATTAGAACGATGTAAAACTTAGGGGTATAAATATTTTTGCTCAAGGATTTCGTCAGATAATTCTCTAAAAGTTGTGCAGCAGTATCGCCCTTGAAGAGAGTTTTCCTAAGAACTGTATGAAATCTTACAGATTATAATTTTGGTTTCATGTTACACTTAATATTCCTGGATGAATAACCGTTTTTGGGGAATATCAAACAAAGAATTTAAGCAACTCAAAACGACTATTGTAAATGATATTATCGAAAAGAAAATTTTCTTCGCTGAATTGTCTTAATTCTTTTTAATGAGTTTCAATCTCTGAACTTTTTATTTCTCGAATTCATTCTTTCTTTGAGAACTGCACTCTCTAGTATTTAATCTTTCCCGCTATCACTAACACTACAGTTTTGAATACTTTGTTATTCATCTTGTTGTGCCAACATGATATGGCGGTTCGGACTAACGTGTATTTTTCCCAGGCTCTGTGTTGATCATAACTGACTGATTATATACATATAATACAATTGTAGACGAATTCATGGATTGATACAGTAGCTTCATTTAGTTATTTGACCATTACTTGTAACTTTTTTATTCTGTTTTAAGGATAGAAAAATATTCACAATCAATCGCAGAAAATATATACTTAAATAAGTATCTAAGCGCTATCAGGAACATATTCCTAGAATGATTAATATTCTAGCAATAAAGGGAATTATTGGTTGAAGACAAGTGAAAATTATTTTCAATCTACAAATCAGGGAATTTATTGTACAACTTACAAATAACCAGAAATAATATCAAATCAGCTATCTTATAGCCTAAGCACTAAAAGAAATCATCTTACATATATGATTGCGATATTCAATAAATAAGGCGATAATTTATGAAAGTAACAGTTTTCTGTAGTGATTCGTGTAACTTTACGAATTGATAAACGTGTAACAAGTCATAAAAATAAAGAAACAATTGTTTTTACAAAACATTTTATCTTTATACCTATCGATCATATTTATTTAGACAATGGCGTTGACTTAATCCTGTCGATTAGCAGTAACATTCAAATATAGTCGACGTGATGACGAGTCATTAACACCACTGATCAAATCGTAACTTAGTCAATAGAATTCAATTAGCTCAAAGGAAAAAGATATAAACGACGCTGGTTGATACGAAGTGACACCTCAAACTCATAGGATCTCAAGTGTCGATCAAATAGTTTACTGTCAATGTCTCTCTGTACGAGATACTGAGTGGTAAAAGTTCGAACACATGGAGCGTTATTTTCTTCAAATATTCAAAAACAGTTACGGTTATCTAGTTTTAACTGGTAGGAAATCTAGAGCCAGAGATATCTATCAACTGCTTAACATTTTAATGTATCTTTAAAAAAATATACTAAATAACTGAATGAAGAATATCCTTTGAGAATACAAAATAATGATGATAACGATGAAAATGATGTTTGCTGAAACCACTGGACTGACATTTTCACATATGAAACTGCATTACACTTTTTGTATTTTTATACTCAACTATGAATGCCAGTTTTTTCTTTCACTTTCATCACAATTTCTTTCAAGGAATCTAATATGTACTTAATTACAGAACATTGAACGTTAGTAGATGTCACAATTATATAATTTGATGAAAACTTTTACAGGCACTGATTAGTTATGAATGGATAACATAACCTGTTTATATCAAGTTGTTCACGAAAAAACATGCACAGTTAATTAATCAGTTAGAAGTCGATTAACTTCACGAAATGTGATCAGTTAACCGTCCATAAAATGATGAAAAACGATACACAACTATAATCTACTTAAATGAAGTACAAAAGACTACAATATATTTGATGACTAAATAACCATAAAAACATATTTCTAATTGTGCTCTTTACAAAAAAAAAACAACTTCAACGACTAGAAAAGTGAGCTAGAACCTAGAAGTATTAGGTTGAATCCGTAGGACATGTATTATTAAGTAACCTCAAAATAGAGTAGAAAAATTCTATATACCTATAAGGATTGTTGCGCTGGTTGTTAGAAAGAATATTGGTCTCGTGACTTCCGAAGAATCTCGGCTTTCGTCCTGAAGTGTCATAATTCTTTCTTCAACTTTCAGGACAGAGTTTAAATGGTTTAATATGCTTAATCTGGTTGACGCTTTTTTTTTTAGCAAAATTCTTTCCCATAGGATGGGGTTGCCGACCCCATGCCTAACCCTCCTCCTTTACCTGGGCATGGTACCGGGAGTAACACTAAAAGAGCTATAGGCGGAGTTTGGAGGCCTCGCCTGGACTCGAACTTGGATCGCTGGATTCAAAGTCCAGAGTGCTAACCGCTACATATGGAACTCAGAACAACTGTCAACTAATATCCAAGTCAGAATCTTCAGTACGACCGTTAAGACAGTTCTACTGTACGGAACTGAAACATGGAGAACTACTACAACCATCATCAAGAAGGTGGAGGTATTTATAAATAGTTATCTACGCAAGATACTCAACATCCATTGGCCGGATACTATCAGCAACAGCCTACTGTGGGAGAGAACAAACCAGTTTCCAATTGAACAGGAAATTAGGAAAAGACGATGTCGATTCATATTGTAAACTAGGTTAAAATCAGTCTTGTCATAATTCTAAATAAGGAAACTACTTTACAATTAAAATACATATATACACATACCTTGAATGAAAATGCAAATCTGACAAGTGGATTTAACCAATCATCCGATAACATTATATTACAACTTGTTGATGTAGATAATGACGTCGGTTGAAATCTCTTGATCCAATAAGCAGTTGAATGTAAAATACAACATACTGTTTCTGATGTTTTTGTTAATAATTCAAATAAACGAATAATCAATGCTATATTTTCTAATGACAAATTACCTTGGCTTGTCATTTTGTCATCCTTATTATTGTCATTATGATTGTTATTAGTATAATTATTACTATTACTATTCGTAAATTCATTAGTTTTAGAATAATGAATTAAAAATGTTAAATTTGATTTGACATATTCGATACGTTTGAATAAATCAGATATTGAGACTAGAGGAAAAGACAAACAATAGAAAATAATTAGTGTAACATGAACTTAATTAGAATTTAATAATACCAATTAAGCAGTAGTTGATCATTATGATGAATTAAGGAAATATACTGCCTTTTATTAAACAATTTATTGTTATCAACGAGAGCGGTTAACTTTGTAAAACCTATTGCTATCTATTATACTTTAATGACCAAATGATTCTTATATACGGAAGGAAAAAGGATTAAGTGCAGGATTTTTAATTTAACCAACTTTGAGCCACAATTTAGTTGCTTGAAGAGTGGTAGTGATTACTATTCGGGTACCAAAATGGAGATCCACACTCGCAATCCAGAATTATCATTATGTATTTATTTATTTGAACACAAAAATATTGGTACAAGAGGACATCAAATATATATGCGCCACAAAAAACAATGGGAATTTGAAGAGAAAAAAAGAAGGTAAGGAGTGTAAAAAAAGAACAATAACGAACAGATTAGTGTAAGGTAGCGTAATAATAATAATAATGAGGCAAACGGAAAGGTACAATCAGAAATCTTTCAGTTAAGGAAGATACAACCACTTTATGAAGAAAGTAAAAGAAGGTTACAGCAGGATCGCCACTGACTTCTATTCTGAGCCATATCTGATAACGTCTCTAGCCACTGTGTTACAACATCTCTCGGATCCCAGCCAGGGAGTCGTGAAGGCAGCCAGTTTGAATGGTGCCCGTGGTTTCAGAAAAACTGCTTCAGAATTCGTATTCGGTGGTAGCATACTATTTTCAACCAGGCAGTGACTCGAGAACGTTTAGATAGAACCGAATGTCCACCATAGGCGAACTGCTGTATAAGTCGAAAAATAAGGATAGATAGTGTGGGAATAATAATAATGTGAATCGTTTGATTGTTAATTGAAGCAAGAAAAGTATCTTCCATAAATATCAACATTTCATCATATTTGTGTGTGGGCTGTGATACTGCCCGGGTGCCCAGACCGAAGCAGGTGGTTTTCTTAGGGGGCCACATCCCGAGCCTTTGACCTAAAGGTCTGACCCACAAGGCAGTGGGGCATCGTGAGGATATGTTGTCCCATGGTAGCCGGTGACCAACAATTGGTTCATACGCCATTTGTTACCTCACGTTACTGGAGCCCATGTGCACCACTGGTTTGGGATCCGGTTAAAGCGCCGGACATTCGCTTTTCGTCCTCTCATTTTCGTAAATAACAACCCCGCCACGTCAAGGCAGTGAGTAGGACTTCCCTGACAGAGGCTGTATACGCGTGGCCGTGTGAGAGCATTTCGAGATGGAGGGCGGGCTCACCTCATTCTCGGCCATACCAGGGCATTTGGGGGCATTTCAGTATTTGCGAACCACGGCATTTTTACCACTACACTATAGCTCTATTATTTAACTACCATAACAACAATACAGCTTAACTAGCGTTATTAGGCTTGACATCTCAAAAGTGCTGTAGTGTCGGTTGCTATGTTAAACCTGTATGCCTTGTTCTAGGTTCTGAACAAACCAATTTATCCATTCTTCTTGAGTCATATTTTGATCATTCGCTTATCAACCTCGACTGCTTTTATATGAGTGTATATGCACTTCTTATTTCATTCATTACATGTCTGTAATTTATTTTTATTTGGCTATAAATATTGATTAACGCTTGATTAAAGGGAGTTGGCTTACACGCCTTCTCCACTGCGCATCATTTGGTTTGGTTCGTCCCTCAGATCGTCTGTCCAGATCAATGTGTATGTATTCGAAATTCATTCTCGTATTTGACTTATTTAATTCCGTTATTCACTAACGCGATTTAAGTCGATGATTTTATACGAGGATAGACGATATGTGTATTTCAACAGCAAACATTCAATAACGATCATTCGTCCGATCTAACTGGGCCACAAAAGTGTAACATACAGGTTAGAGAACAAGAATATCTGAAGTTACTGATCAGGATGTACTTAAATAGATCTGTATCTATATACTGGCTGGTAACTACGATAAAACTGAGATTTAGGTTATTTTATCGATTGGCTTCATCCATTTGCGATAATCAACTTAGAGCCAAGTACAAATATGTGTTAACCTAAGTTTTTATGCCATATCAGCACAACTGGATGAAATTGAATAGACAAGCATCGAAGAACTCAAAACAATGTAGTGGTAGTGAGGATGAGAATAACTAGGCAATTGGGATATTGTACCAAAAGATAGAATGGAAACGCATGTACGAAGATATACTGGAACTTAAAAGCCACGTCATTCAACTTCTAAAGGCACTGATCGAGCTCCCAACCGGATAATCTGAAACTACCAACATGATGCAGATTAACAGTCAATGATTTCACTGACTGATAATACGTTTTGATTTAGTCGCCCCAAGTATTCTTCTAAAAATTAATGAAGATTCACAGTCAACTTTACCCGAACAACATACCTCGAACCTTACCACTGTTTACTCTGTCATTCTACTACACGCGAAAAGTGTATCCAAAACATTTATTTATTTAGAGTTAAGGTATGTCACGAGCATATCATACTTTCTACCCGTTGGTAGATGGACATCTCTATGTCACAAATGATGTAAGTTAAAAAACGGCAGGTTGGCTATTTGAATCTACACCAAGATAGCAAATTATAAACAAAAAATATTTAAAACATTTATAAAAACTTATAAAAATTTACTTCTTGACACAACATCCAATTGATTTAACTCTGATGTCCAGTTCAATAAATTTGGTGAAATTTTCATGATATATTTGACAAACATTAACATGAAATCTGTTTTCAAAAATTTCATCTCATCAACTTGATTGGCTGTTGTGGAGGATTGTTGATCGTGTTGGACTATTTGACTTTTAGTATTAGATATTCGTGGTAATGTGAACTGCCAATCTATCAGCTAGAATTTTAAACGCATAGAAAAATTGAGAAGGCATATATATATATATATATATATATATATATATATATATATGATTAGAGAAAATGGTGATAGCGGACAATAAAGTGCTTATTTTAAGCAGCACACAGTAGAACGACAGGGTTAAATTTTAAAGCACTCCAATGTTCATCTATGAAACTTCATGTCAGAAACATATTTCAGTTGGTTTTATTTAAACGCCGGGGAGGGCATGAATAATCAATCTAGTGAATAACATTTTATTTAAATTCATAAATGGAACCTACTGCATGCAATCATAAACTCTCGGAACCTATTTCCAAACCTCGATTGAATAAAAAGCAGGTGAAACTATCAGACAGATAACTGAATGTATTGTTGCAAATCTTCCAAACAAGACATTATGACTTATCGGATAAGAAATGACTTATCAGGAATGAAAATATTAAATTCACATTCTTTCCCATCACAAGTATGAATAATTTCACACAGAAAGCTGTAACTGGATACGTACTTGAAACCTGAATGCAAGAGAATGTTGGAAATAAATATTATCGATCTGCACTAAACAGGAGAGCACTATTTCACACAAATATTTACAACTGATAATGAATATAAAACCAAGTCTACCATATCGTTGACTTATAGATTTAATAACTTAGCGAATAACCGTCTGCAGTTTGGAACGATAAGTATAGTGTTCAATTTTCAATATGAGTAATCAATACTAGGATGTAGGCACATACGTCCAAAGAAACGGTACATACCAACGAACACAAGTTGTGGAAATACCAGTCTTTTTTATGACATTTAGAATCAGTAACTCAATATTCAAGATACGCAATAGTTCACAAACAGAAAATTGAGTTATAGTTTTAGGCAAACAAGTTTTCCAGTGACTAGACAACAGTTATATAATAATGTAGACGGTTGATTTCTGGGATATCAATCTGTAGCACGTTACTTAAGTTAGACATTATTATGAGTAACTTACTAAATTAATTACTATGCAAATACATTGTACTTTTAGCGAAAAGAATTAACAAAATCTACATAATTTAGATGAAATGGTTTTGTACAAGTCTTAATTAATTTTGAGGAAGAGAGAGAGAAATAGGGTATATTCACCATGAGTTGATGTCAATATGGGTACTATTGAAACCAAATAGCACTGAATAGATGTTCATTGGCACCATAATCGAGACTAATCCATAACGAATATCAACTGAAAATTTTAAAACAAGCAAGAAACTACTGAATGATCAATGTAGATTAAATAAAGACGACTTTCACAGTTAGCGTATTATTATTAATATATGCTTTTAACAGTTTAAAATATCTACCATACATAAAATAATCCTGACGAATAGTAATAGAACAAACAAACAAACAGGACTACTAACCAATTTAGTATGAGTTGAAAGACAACAGGACTGTCAAATTGATACTATTCCTATGTATAGACACATACATGTACACACAACATTCAAGAAGACTATCAAAACTAATTTGTCTTTAGCCAAAACACAACTATTTAAGCAAACAAATAATCGGACGAGAGAAAAACAAAAATAAAGGTGACTCAGCTGAATTATAACGTTTTCAAATGGGACGAGGAAAAAACAAACTAAAACAAGTGAATCATCATTAGCTATACTTTATTTTCTTATCAAAAATCGGAAGTAGTTCACTATTTTAAGCCGAGTTGGATAGTGGTTAGTAGTGGAGTCTAGGACGCGTTTGTTATCTTATCAGGGACTAATCAACCAAATGAATCTGTACCTATGTTTATGTTTAAACCGGGACTTGAACTTGGTACTTTTTGTTTAAAAGACAGAACGCGTTATCCAATAAACTACTGAGTTCATATAGCCATTGATTTGTGCAACGGGATGGATTTGGATTCACTTGTAAATGATGTTTGAATGTTTTGATTCATGTTATGGACTGAAATTGTTCAATGTCCTTTGGCATTTGTGCACCCAAAGAAGAGAAGATAAGTGTACAGAAGGTTGTGTTACACCCTTGAATGCAGACTTTTTATAGAAAGATATATGTAATCAACAATAAAGATCAAATAAATGATCCACATACAATTTAGTGAGATATACATTGCGCTCTGAATACTTCACTGAATTTAAAACCTCTAGTACTTCCTATATTTCAACGGCGACAAGATCTGTGAGCTTTTTAATGAAGTCACATTGACTGGCATGCTTGTCTTTACTTCGTTCTGTTCGATTGATTTTTTCCGTATAGATTGACAGTTGATCTAAATGTTTATTTATTTATTTGGACACATAAATAATGGGACAAAGGGGCACCAAATACATATGCGCACACAAGTCACTTGATTTGTGTGTGGGTTGTGATACTACCGGGGTGCCCAGACTGAAGGTGGTTTTCTTAGGGGACTACATCCGGAGCCATTCGAACTAAAGGTTTGATCAACAAGGCTGTGGAGCAACGTTAGGAGATGCAGGCACATGGTAGCCGGTGACCAACGATTGGTTCATACTCCATTTGTTCCTTTAGGATCATGGAGCCCATGTGCACCACTGATTTAGAATCTGGATTTCCCAAACCCCTTAGGTGGATCCTCCATATCCACCAACCTCGTTAAAGCGCCGGACATTCGCTTTTCAATTTCGTAAACAACACCAGTGCGGCGATAAGACAGTGAGTAAGACTTCTGTGTTAGTGGCTGTATACGCGTGGCCATGTGAGAGCGTTTCGAGAGGGAAAGCAGAATCTCCTCGCCCTCGACCGTACCAGGGCATTTGAGGGCGATCTAAATGCCATGCTTATGGAAATTTTCTAGTATTTCAGGATTTTCGTGAACCAAAATTTCGACGTTTTCCCAATGAGATGTGTGTCTATTGTCATTTGTCTACATTGATGTAAGTAATAATATATCATATTATCGCTGCACTGTTAGTCCGTGTTTATGTATGAATGAAGAAAGAGACAACTTCGACTAAAACATCAGTAAAAGCATCCAACTGAATCATAAGTCTTGCCCATCAACTAAACGACTGCATAGAAGATTGAAGCCGGGTTCTAACTCCACTACATCTACTTTACGTTGCTCAGCCGGATAGTGTCGTAGCCTTACACCAAAAGTGTGATCAGGAGTCAAGTACAAAAAAAACATACGTTTGGAAAATGATTTACGCTAATTGGAACTCCATAAACGCATATTACACAACATAAATATGGATAAGTTAATAGGTTTAATTACTTTACACACAATGCTGTTATAAGTAAAGAAATAAAAGTGAAATTTCCACGACATTCTCAACAATCATATATCACGGGTTAAATTGCTTTCAAAATACATAGATAAAAATATTAAATATAAAAGAATACCATTACACTGAGAAATAAATCATCATCATACTTGAAATCAAAAGCGTTGAAGACAATTAGGAAACTACCAGTTGACCTAACGGTACCCAAAACTTTAAGATTAATGGTAAACCAATACGAATGAATTATACAGATCAATACACCCAGAAAGAATGACGTGAATTTTAAACTCGATTAAAAGTATGTTTATTGAGCCTACTCCGTTCATTAGATATTAGAACAGAGATACCTGATTAGACAAACATCTTTGAGACATGATTCAAGTTAAATGTTCTGTATGCAAATGATGCGAAAGTGCTGATAAGTTTCTTTGGAGTCCAATCAGTGACGGCGGACGGTTAAGGAACATGATACGAGTATCCAATATAATTTTCACATAAACACATTACTTTGAAATATATTTCATATCGGGGTTCGCCTTATTCTGCAGAATCGCGATATTGCGGACCATTGTTGAACAATCACTAGAATGGAACTCGCTGATATGCATCGAATATCTTGGTTATGAGAAAGCATTCAACAGAGTGGATAGGAAAACCTTGTGAAATCTATGACGATATACAGTACCTAAGAAGACATCACCATTATACGGAACTACTAAAAAAATCTGCATTGCAAACTCACGTATACAGGGAACCTCACAGGTGCTTCAAATTTCATACTGAAGTTAGACAAGGCTGTCTACACTCGCCTTTTTTCTTCCTGTTAGGTGTTGACTGGACTATGAAGAATTCTACATCTCAGAAGACGCTCAGAATAGAATGAGCACTTAGTACACAGTTGGATGAAATAGACTATACAGATCACATAGCTGTCCTAGAGCATACAAAGCAACAAAAGCAGGAAAAAACTGCCAGTGTAGCGGCAGTTAATAACCATTTTTTCAATTAAAACATAGTAAATAATGAGATTGTTTCCAACGCATATTTTTACGAATGTTAACATGGCAACGGCGAAACAAAACTTACAGAATCTAAGCTTTTTAATTGAAAACCAGTTGATTTGTGACCATTCAATAACATATTTGTACACCTCCAAACTAATTGTATAATTAATGGTAATTTAGTACTGACTAGTATACTTGTACAGCATTCAAGAACTAGTGATATATTCTGTGGAGAGGAATAACAAACGAACAAACGAAAAGTAAACATTTTACGAAAAGGAGTATATATCTAAGACAAGGCAAAAATTGTAGCGTTCATTCGACTTTTAATAACTCTTCCAGATAATGTGAATTCACGATGAAAATTATTTCTAACCTGAACAAACTTATCCAAAATTACCTCAATAAAGATAAGATATCACTATATGATTCATACGACTGAATTGAACCCAAAGGCAACACGTTTGTTTAGTTTTAATATTCAAACACAAATTAGATTGTCTAATCAGACAGAAAAGGTATTTATTCTAACTGATAAAGGTTTCAATTGGATATAAATTGAAATGTATGTTAATGAGGAATATAAAATACACATAAGTCAGTCAGTCAGTAACAACGTGGAACTTCGTACGTACGTACATCAGTTCGAGTTGCCATACCACATTAGCACAGAGATCCAGTTATCGATTCAAATCTCATAATGGTAGAGGTATTGATAGTATAAGTAGTGATAGGGAACATTAGGGTTTGATGATGTTATTTAAGGAGTATAGTCAAGTGGAATAGATTTGGAAAAAAAGACATGAAGAATACAGAAGATTAGAGTTTGGGAGAACACAGAGGGTGGATGCACCTGCGCCATTGCAAACGATTTTGAGCCATGTCATTCAAGGTCTCTAACCATCGGTTGCTATCATCTCGCGGACCCCAACCAGGTAATCTACACTTACCAACATGGCTCAGTCCACTTGTCAGTGACTTCACGGATTTGTGCCATGTTTTGGTCTGGCCGCCCCTAGCTTTCTTCCAACCTACTCCTACACCATAAAACATCGCGCGTCGGGGCAGTCGGTGGTCAGGCATGCGCAACACATGTCTCGGCCATCTCAACTGATTAGGTTTCACTACTTCATCAATTGATTTGTCATCCTTACCTAGTACCCGTTTCCTAACAACTGCATTACTTACTCGGTGGTCCCAGGATATACGAACAATGTTTCGAAGACATCTATGATCAAATACTAGTAACCTACGAATATCCTGTACTCTTTCGGGCGATGTTTCACTGCCATAAAGTAGGACGGAACGAACTGCTGCGCAGTAAACCCGTCCTTTGGTTGTTAGATGGATATCTCGCCTACGCCACAAATGACGCAAGTTGGCAAAAGCTAGTCGAGCCTTCTGTATCCATGCTGAGATTTCGTCACACACCAGACCACAAGGGCTGATGAGACTCCCGAGATAAGTGAAGCGGTTGACACGCTCAACTACTTCACTCCCTATCACTAGTTCGGGTGTCGACGCAACCCAATCCTGAAGCAACATTTTGCATTTCAAGGGAGAGAATGGCATGCCTAACATGTTCGCATTGTTGCTTAGAGTGATCAGCAGACTTTGCATTTTGTCAGGGTCCTCACCATATAGAACTATGTCATCGGCATATTCTAAGTCAACAAGTGAGTCTCCCGGTAGAAGTTCAAGTCCTGGAATGTCAGATGTGAAAAGAGTTATCTCTAAAAGCACGTCAATGATAAAGTTAAACAAGAATGGAGAGAGCGGACAGCCCTGACGAACACCACTTGGGGCAATCAGTTCTGATGACAGTTCGCCATAAGCTCTCACCCTACCAGTTGTGTTCGAGTAGAAAGCCTTTATAAGGTTAATGTACTTCTTTGGTACTCCTTTCAGAAGCAAACACTGCCATAGGACCTCACGATCAACAGAGTCGAATACCGCCTTAAGGTCGAGAAATGAGCAGTTAATTGTTGTTGCGGTGTCAGTCATCAAAATATTCAGACTGAACAATCGTTTTCCTAAAAGAACCAATAGGAAATAAAGTATTTTGTTTTATAACAGAAAGCTTCAGAGATTCATCTTCTAGGGACTTCAATGACACTTTGTACATGATTATTATCGGATTTGTGAATGAAAATCGTTCTGTTACAGACGATGTCACAAGTAGGTCACTTCACAATCTACAAAATCGATTCGTGCTATAACTGATTATTCCTAACCAGCAGCACTTAACACCAAAGAAAACGAATAAAATCCAGAAAATTTATTTCTCCGCCTAGTTATGATACTAGTAAATAAGCAGGAGAAAGTCGACTATTTTTGATGATCAATTAATAAGGAGGTTGATTTCACGTGCTTTCGAGTGCGCTCAAATAAATCGGAAATAAGAATGCAAAAAACCGTCTATTAGCTAGGTTAACTTGAATTTCCAGAGGAATTTAGAAGCATTTTTCAAAAGATTCATCCATACAGTTAAATTCATAAAAAACAATGCATTCATTTTTCTTCAGATAAAATCTCACCTCGTTAATAAGTTTCAATTCTTCAATCAGAGTAAACTTAATAAGATTACCATGCAGTAAAGTGAGTAGACAAGGCCAACGTTGTTGATTTTTATCAGTACCAGTAATACAAAGGAATAACTCTTCGATATTAAATTGACTAAAATACTTTCGAAATATGTTTTCCAGTTGTTCGAACAATTCAATAGTTGATGAATTCATGATCATTAAACTATTATTATTATTATTATTATTACTTCTAAGATTCTCTGTTAAACAATGAATTTCATTTAATAAATGTTGTGTAATAATAGGATTCAACTTCAAATGTAATAAACATTCAGTTAATTTTGATCTAGAAAAATTACATTTGATCTCCTTATCATATTCATTATAAACGATGTTGACTGCTTCAATATTTTCCAGTGACTGATTATTAGAGGAGGTTTCTAAAAGTCCGACTCTATGAAGATCATCAAAAATGTTTGAACGTCTACGTAAAAAGAGTGCGTGAGGAACATGACATGTAAAATTATTAAGAAATAAAGTTGTTTAACGACGATGACAACAACAATATCATAATTAACTAATAAAATTAAGTAATCACGTATCGATTGGTGATAATAATTTATAAACAGCATAAGTTTACGCATCAAAGAATAGCCGAAGAAAACGAACACTTCAGTTAGTGTTACCTACAATATTTGTAATACTAACAAAGCCATAATATCAATTCCGTAAAATATTATGAATGAACACAGTTGAGGAGTCTCATATAAATTGCTTTTGCTCTCAGTTTTAAAATAACTATCTGACCAATATTATATTATGATGATAATGATCCTGAGAGTTTCATTACCTAGAAAATATTGTACGTTTACATGCCAATTTCAATAACAATCACCATCGGTTGTCCAACATCGCAATAAATTTCTCATTAACATACATTCAAGTTGAAATTATTCGAGAATTATGTTGTATAAATGACTTTTTCAATAGTTAGTATCTGCCGCTTATCTTTAGTCGTGAAATCTTTCTATCAGTTCTCAGGTGCCAAAATTTTCTTCATACACTTCATGAACTTAGAAGGTGTAAAACACATACCGAACCTACGGACACTAATGGCCAACTGAATGAGTGCAGATTCCAAGTCTTTGGTATCATCACCTAGTGAGACAATATCATCCGCATACTGAAGGTCGAGAAGTCATTGTCCAGGCAGCAAATCCATACCACCACTAAATTCCGATTTTAATTGAGATGTTTACGAACTCTGAAGGAGTTATTATAAATAATTAAATATATTGATCATATGAAGACTTCATGTACTCAGCTTTGAGACACAATTAATTTGAAATTCGGTAATACTACATGTTATTCTAAAACAAAGTATATGTACAAGAGGAGTTTCAACCTCCACTAAGAAATCGTTCAGTAAAACTTTAATTTTCAGTTTTCAATATTTCTTTCTGCACATGTTCTATCTAGATCCAAATATAACTCAGGTAAAATAAAATCATGGATGTATGTCAGTTAAAATACTCTACATGATAAAATGAAATAACTGTTAATCCCGTTACGATAAACAATGTTTATCAGTGTTTTTTATAATAGATATCCACTATTTTAATGGAAGTGTTAGACAATTCTAAAAACAACTTTTACTTTGAATAGAAAGATTATTCTCACCTTGTATCAACTGAATCATCAGTCTTATGCAATAAATTAATTGATGTTAAAGTTTGTTGTTTCTTTAATGAATACTGTGATAATTTTTGATATGCATTAAACCATAAATCTGGTAGTTGATTAGAATAAATATGAAAGAAATCTTCCGAGTTGGTACAGATTCCTTCAGCTTTCATAGATATATTCGCTAAATAACATGTCCTGAATATCTGATCATTGAATATAGTATCCAGTGGTGTTGCTGTTAACTGTGTGATCACACTATCACCATAGTGATGTCGATGAGAAGAGAGAGGAGAAGGACACGAAGAAGAATATGAAAACTCCCAACCAATTGGATAAATCATAACTAAACGATCATTGGATGAAACATTTTCAGCACTGAACAGTTCTGTTGCTGATAAACTAGAAACTAATTTGACTAGTTCGGCTAAATAATTAGCTGCTTGGTTAGCTAACTGTTTGCATGTAGTAAAATTTTGTAGGGTACAAGATGAAACTAAAACAAACAAACAAATATGAAGAAGAAGGAAAAAAGGATATATAATGAGCTAGAAGTCATTCTGATGACGTTTGTCAACCACCTTAAAATGGTTTCTGATCCCCCTATCCTAATAATTTATTTCAGTAATATACACTAAGATAGCTGTTGTATGGGTCTTAACTGAACTTTAAAGGCCTACTGAAGAAATTAGTATGGTAAAAATCGATAAACATTGGATTCTAAGGCGACGTTATACTGTCAACTATATTGAGGTATGAGATAGCGGTGAGTTGTTTCTTACAGTTAATGAGTATATTCGGGGATGTTGACTTTTTATAATCAAGATGGAGACTTTGAAATAGTTAGTCCCACTTACCATATAAATTTTTCTCATTATCAGTGGAAAGTATTTTAAAAATATGAAGCTGGAACTACTAAATCGAAAATAGTTAAAAAAATTCTCGCATTTGACTAGTCGTATACAGATATTTTTTTATGATACGTACGAATCCTCATAGATCGAAAAAACTAACACTGATAAGTTTTCCGCCTTCACAATTAATAAAATTGAAATAAACTTATGGCGTAAGAAAGTTAGAAAAAAGTGTTGGTTGTGTGTATACCTGCCACATTATTTTGGTGTATTCTTCTCACAACTGTCGAATGACACTGAAAAAGAATTATTTACAATCCGTGTATTGAGGTGGAAGTTTTTAAAATCTTAGCTGAAAAGTCGTATCTATAAAGGAGCGAACTGCTTCGTTGTATACCCACTAGATTCAAACTTAATGACGCAGGACATGAAGGTTTTTGAATAATTTTAAAAATACTCAATAGTTTAGACATCCTACTGTTAACCAGTGGTATATAAATAAATATCACTTACATAGATTATTTACTTTTTGATCTGTTATTTTTCTTTGGGGTTTTACGGGTGCCTGTTGTTGCTCTTCAGTATTATAGTGAACATCCAATTTAGACCGATAAATCAATGATGAATCTGCGTCGGTATAAACACTTGAAGAGCCTTGTTTATTGCAATTGATGTCATTAGTGTTATTGTTTAATGAGGCTTCGGAACCAAGACTAGGATGATAATTATGTTGTTGCCCATTATTACAAGGATGCAAAGAAAAATTGTCTTCGATAGACATAGCTCGTGTCACTAATGTGGGTGGATCAGATGAGGAATTGTGATCAATGCTATTGTTTGTTATTGATGAATTCCTCTTTGAATTTTCAAAATGTGTTGAAGTGGACATTGTAGTGAATGACTTCGTTGTACACGTTTGTGCAAGATGTAAATTTTGTTTCAAATCAGATATTTCTCGTTGAGCCAACTGAATGTTACGATGTAATTCATTGATTTGTTTGTACAATGCAGATTCACGATCAGCAGCAGCTATTTCGAATTCTCGTTTTTTTATACGTAATGATTCAGCAATACGAAGAAGTTCATTTTCTTTGAGCTAAAGATTTTAAAAGAATGTAGATCAGATGAACAGTCAGTGCTAAAACTAAGTACCTGATTTCCATTGAAACAAGTCAAACATGAGGCTTTTCTATTTGTCTACATTATGTTCGACATCAATCTAAATTCTTTACACAACTATAGCTACTCACAATAAAATAGATTCATACACCTTATGTGCATTAACTTTCTGGCTCCCAAATATTATCGATTCGATTTTTATCATCAAACTGCATGGTCAAAATACTTGTCCATATGATGAACTTCTAGACAGACTTTGAACACTGATCAACGTTAAATCAAATGTTATGCGGTTGGAGGCATTCAGAATCTTTAATACGAGCGTCAAGACAGTCCTACTGTACGGAGCTGAAACTTCGAGAACTACTGCAACCATCAGCAAAAAAGTACAAGCACTTATAAACAATTGTTCAAGCGAGATACATCCGTTGATCGGATAACATCAGCAACCACCTACTGTGGGAGAGAACAAACCAGCTTCCAGTTGGAGAGGAAATTAAGAAAAGATGCTGCAAGTGGGTATGACATACACTGAGGAAATCATCAAACTGTATCATGAAGCAAGCGCTAACTTGGAATCCTGAAGGGTAACGGGAAAGAGGAAGACAAAAGAACAAATTGGGTCGACAATTGGAAGCATACATCAAAAGGATGAATAGCAACCAGAAAGAACTGGAAAAGATTGCTCAGGACAGAGATCGATGAAGAATACTCTTCTACGAGGGCTAACAGCCGTAAGTAATTGGATGGAGTCTACAGGAAACCGTGACCCTAAGTTTCGCACGATCTGTTGCCTTAGAAGACCGACGACTCTCCTTGATAAGACTGAAACAATATCAGTCAGGATCACAATCTAAAACTGAAAAATTCAACAACCGAAAGTTATTAGCATTTAAGACTGGACAATATGATATTATTTATCGGCCAAACTAAAAGGACCAGTCAGAAAACGTACAAATGAATAGACATACTAAAGAATATGGGGTATATATTTTGGATTTTACTAAATTAAAATAAACTAACGAAAACATTTTCTACGATAGCCCGATGGTGAAAACCACCAATCAAGACGGACTGCATGAAATCGCCACATCCATGTATATTTATCAATTCAACTGCTCTTGCGGAACAAATTATATAAGGCGTACAATCCGGCAAGTCTGTTATCGCATAGCGGAACACCATCCATTTTGGTTGAGCAAAAGACAGGTAAAATTGACCAAGTGCTCTATTCTCGCTCACTTAGTGGACACAGAACACTAAGTTGACCTGAATACATATTTTAAGGTTATGAAAAATACTCTATCAAATTTACTGTACGGTTTACAGGTTCGTCTTCTGAATATTGCTGAAGCTATCGGAATCCACGTTCACGAACCTAACCTTTGAATCCAAAAGACGTTTTAACAACCATTCTTCTTACCTTGATCATCTATATAGGAGTGAGTTTTACCCCCTTTCTTTTGAAAATAATCAAATAATTTTCTAATTTCTTTTGCTTTTGTATATTTACATAGCCTCAACATCCGTCTCTTTATTCTTACATAACTAATATAATACTGATTTTTCATCAAAATATTTTATTAATTTCTTTCTATATTATGCAATGTAGCAACTGTTTAATTTCTCGAATAATCACATTATTATAGTTATTTTTTCTCCAAAAACTGAGTATCATTAAATGATCAGTACACAATGCAACCACTAGGTGGTTGTACATTATATATATATATAAGAATCGACATTGCATTTGATTGGAAATTCGAGAAACTAACTAAACAAGAGATTTATTTTTTATTACTGGATAACGAAAACCATCCAAACAAGCATTCTTCCTGCTATTTTACTCAAAGACATGTAGAAGTGATAACTAAATATGATTTTTTACTGTTAGATGGAAAGAAATCCAGAGAGCATGGTTATCATTTATGTATTACTAGAGCTCTAGAAATTAGGAGTAATGTATACACGTTTAATCCATTTTTTTTCGTAATCATTAGCACAGAGGTTTAGGTATGAATATTTATATCAATCCGAGTTATCACACCTCACATCAATCAGTAAAATGACAAGATAAGAAGAGAAATAATACTAAGGATTAACAGAAATGTAATGATCAAGGATGTTGGTAAAAAAAACAAGATGGAAGAATCAGTCAGCCATTCATTTGGCACTATATCATCTAATATAAGCACTGATTATGAGCTGTATGCGGGCTTCAACCTGGAAGTTTGCATCAACAGTGATAAGGCTCAAACGATGATCTATACAGTGATGACCACTCTCTGCCGGTTTTCCAACCTATTTTCATGTCATTACACACAAGAATTAGCTTTAGCATGCATACATTTGTCAATTCTATTTACTTTTCTTTGTTTGTTCTATTTGCTTTTAATCTAATCAGTGATACCACTTCAGTGAAGCACCTCATATACTTATTAATATAAATAATAATCTTCAGTGTCAAGTAAGTTACAGTTATTCAATGTTTTATAATTGTTTATCGAAATAAATGTTGTTCCTTCTAATTATCATTTCTAATTTATGACAATTTTTGTTTTTTCTATACAGGTCAAACATTTCTAAGATGGGATGAAAAAAATACAAAAATCAGTTATATAAATTGTAGTCAAGTCAGATAATCATAACCAACATAAAAAATGGAATACACGTTGCTATAACAAATCAGCAAGATGGGATGAAATCAATAAGATGAAAAACAAAGCAGTTGAAATATTCTAAACATTGAAGAATATAGTCTGAAAAGAATAGATCATTTCGTATAATAAAAAGTATAAAACACCTTTTTTAAAAACCAAGGCTAAAGCAAAAACAGAGATTGAATGCATCTGTTTTATGGTGGTTGATACTAAGTCATATCACTCAACATCTGTGATCATTGGTCACGGGTATCATATGGATCACAACCCAGCAATCTACGAACATGATTAACACTAAATGTCGATGAAATGATAGACTAATGGAATGGTTTGGTATAGCCTACTAACTGTTTCTTTCAAATTATTCGTACTTATGTTAACAATTTCTGTTGGAGCAGGAGGTAGTTGGCCATACTTAATACATTTCTCAGATACTTTAATCAACGGAGATTTACAGTTATTATTATTATTTTAACACATAGGTATTGGTACAAAGAGGGACCAAATACATATGCGCCACACAAATCTCAATTGATATGTGTGAGGGCTGTGATACTGCCCGGGTGTCCAAACCGAAGCAGGTGGTTTTCTTAAGGGACCACACCCCGAGCCTTCGACCTGAACGTCTGACCCACAAGGCAGTGGAGCATCGTGAGGAGATGCAGTCCCATGGAAGCCGGTGACCAACAATTGGTTCATACGCCATTTGTTACCTCACGTTACTGGAGCCCATGTGCACCATTGGTTTGGGATCCGGTTAAAGCGCCGGACATTCGCTTTTCGTCCTCTCATTTTCGTAAATAACAACCCCGCCACGTCAAGGCAGTGAGTAGGACTTCCCTGGCAGAGGCTATATACGCGTGGCCATGTGAGAGTATTTCGAGAGGGAGAGCGGACTCACCCCATTCTCGGCCGTACCAGGGCATTTGGGGGCGGAGATTTACAGTATCATCAATCAATTGGTCACCTTTACCAGAACACCGTGCTCCTAACCTCACCATTGTTTACTCGGTCAATCTACTAAACGCGAACAATGAGACATCTATGATGAAATATTTGAAGCTAAAGTATGTCTTCTTTTATAGATCATATTTTACACCTACAGAATAAAACAGACGAAATTTATGCGCACTGTATTTCCCCTTCGTTGGTTGATGGACATTTCCCTATATGCGACAAATGATGCAAGTTAACAAGAGTTAAGCTAGCTACTGAATGCGTGCTCAGACTTCATTAAATGTCAATCCAAAACGATTAGTGATACTTCCAGGGTAAATGAAGTCTCGATGCGCGCCATTAATCCACTCCTTATGGTCAGTTTCACCCTGTGAATCCTACACTCTCCGAGTGAAAAAAGGTTTATCGAGTATCTACATTTAACAATCATTGGGAGAAAAGAAAAGCTAGCATGCAGAAGGAACATTCTGAAGGCAGGTGTCTGTCACCATGTGCTGATGATGGTGATAAAGATTAAAAGGCGCTACCATCTTTGGAGATTTTGATAACTTGAACTTTTTTACATGTTGTACTGTTTATTTTCGTTAACTCGGAATCCAAGTTGAATGATAACAGGTTTCCTGTTCAATGTAGCACATTTAAGCGATTTTTTTTACTTTTCCCATATTTCTCAACAAATTTCTCCGATACTCGTTGTCCCGTAGTGATTTTTTATAGTCAATTAAATTAGCTTCTAGTCTATTGGTAGTACATATTTCAGTTCTGTGAAATGGAATTTCGATAAGTGCCTATTTTGTAAATAACTGGAAAAAAGCTATTAAAATACTGATAAACATAATTTCATGTATCTTTCCCGTAAACTGAATGTTGAATCGCACCACCATTCTCCCTGAGTTGTATGACGATATTGAGGAAGTGAAACTTATCATCCTTTTCATGTTCCATAGTAAACTGAATGTCTTTATGGGTGCTATTGAAAGGTTTAGCAGGTGGTTTGCTGGTTGTTGATCTTTAAATACAGCGAGTATTGTCGACATACCTCGCATAATACACCAATTTTATCATTCGCCCCTTCAACCTTGATCTTTTCGAGACTAGCCATTAATATATCTGATAGGGCAGGAACTAAGTGAGCTTCCCGTTGTTAAACCATAAGTTTAATGGTATATGATGTTATTTAGCTGAAACTGAACATCTTTGGTATACACAATTAACAGTCATTCGAGTTCTGATACTGGTAGAGGTAGGGGGTCAGAATGCTTTCAAATTGTGTCGGTTTCAAGACGCGGTATTTATTAAATAAGAATGTTAAATCAAAATAAACCATTGACTTACCGCCAACATTCATGTGATTGAAACTCAGCAAAGTAGAAAGTTTTTTTTGCGTATAAGTAGCTAAGCAGTTGTGAACTGAATCTAGCTTTTCTGCTAGCCAGCCTGCAACTTTGTGGTTAGATGAATTAATCGTTGATAAAATAAGCCTGAGTGGGACATCATTTTTGTGAATCTTTGGCAGGTCATAACATATGAGGTAGATTGGAAGTCAGGTTCCATTACTTGTAACCTACGTGTCCTAGGTGGCCTTTTTCTCATTTAGACTTTGCCCTGGAATTTCATTAATATCATCTACACTAAACAACACTGTAAACCTATCAGAAAATATATATTCACATCCAATTCTCTACAATCTTCGTACATTTATTAAATGAAACAACGCTTTGTTTATAGTGAATAAAAAAATAAGATAAATTATTTTAAAACATGTAAAAATGTTATCCTTAATTAAGTCATATGATAAATGTGATTTTGGTTAATTATTCTATCATATATTCTACCATATCGAATCACACATGGATGGGTAGATAAATATCTCTCTCTATGTATGTAATATACAATATTCATCAGTATCTATGAGGTTATTTATTTTGTGGTCGTTAATCGAAATTACGAACGATTTATAAAGATTATTTTAATTGGGTTTCCAACTTTAGTCGATCAGCAATATTAGATCATCATCCAAATCTTATCGGTGATATTTAATTCCTTTGCAACAAGATAGCAATCAACTAATCACGACTTATCATAAAAAATTCTTCAAGAATTCATTTTGAAATCAGTCATTAACGAGGGAATAAATATTGTTCGCTTAGGTAATGGGTTTAATCCTGTAAACTTTCAATATTGAAAGGATCTAAACTACAAACTGATAACTGTTCAGTTCTCACTTGTTGTCAATGATTCGATTTACATGATATTAATTTAGGCGGTAAAACTCATGAAATGATCGTTAGGGGGGCATGTAGTATACAGTACTATGTCACACCTATGTCGCTGATTCTACCTTTTGAACACAGCAGTTAATTTATTCTTTTTGAGTCAGTGTTTACACTTATTTTGAACTGGTCAGTTATAACCTTATAAGCTTGACTAGTTCTATATGAGCGTATGTGTGCGTATCATATACTCTATTGATTAAATGTCTTTAGCCTATGTTCCTACCTGATTATAAACAGTGGGTCACGCTTTATCAAATCGAGTTGGCACGCTTGTCTTCATTGCTTCATTTCTGTTATTGTCCGTCTGTGGTAACGGGTGTATGAAATAAATGCATCCAAAATCCAAACTCGTATTTGACTTATTTCATTATTCACTAATGAGAATTATGTCGATAAACATACACAGGGGAAGTTGGGATATTTGTTTCGTTATCGTCATCATACGATCATCATCGTCCGATGATTTTGTAGTCAGATCTCTGACCATGATAAGCAAAGTAAATTGACGTTCGTATTGTTGATGAGGAGCATATAAACCAATCAGTTCCATGTAGGCATGTTCAAAGATTGAACAGATATTTCATGATCGGTTTTCTATTTTTATCAATAACTTAATACTAATTATTTGTTAACGTTGAGATTTAAGATAAACGTTTTTCCAATCAAGTCTGAATTTAGTTATATCTATCTTATTGAGTAGCTGTATTGTTTCAATAGAACTTAAATTCAAAACCTATCAAAATTATAACCTATCAACTACAAAAGAGAATAATTAGGACCAACGAAATTAAAGCCAATTAACAACAAACAAAACAAGTGGTATGGCACACAAAAATAATCGTTAGAACTAATCAATGTACATGAGATAATTAATGAAAGCATAGAGATTATGTTACTTCGCCGAAATAAAATGACTATACCATGAGGACATTAAATCAGAGACAACAACTGTATGGTAGACAATGCCAAATATTTACAATTATGGTTTAACAGTAGTAATTGATATATGAAGGCTAAAACAAGTATGCGCGCACACACAATCACAAACAAATGTAAATTTTGCCTTGAAGCTTGAAACCTGTCCATGAAAACACTAACGATATGGTTCACACAATTATAGGTGTATAATATCATGTTAAATTATACGGGACGAAACAAATTATTAATTGTTCTTGATGTACGTATTTACACCCAAAATGAGACTCCATAAACCTTATTTTTAGTTACAAAATTAAGTACGCCAATCATCGTATTCAATTAAGAATCAGTGAAATAGTTTGTCTTCAAACAGTACTAAGATATTAGCTACCCTAATATATCATCAAGTCAATTTTAGGTAATTACATTATTTCGGTTAACTTATAACATATGTGTATATAGTGGCCTTCAAGTGTCATGAAATTTTACAATTGCTTAATCCAAACGCTTATATTTTTTTATTAATCACAAGAAGTTTTGATTTTATTGTCTTAAAGAAACAGATTTATTTGAAGACTTCAATAAAGTGAACTTTTACAGGTATTCAGATTAAGAAACCTGCTATGTAAGTTATTAATGTCAAATTCTAATTCCCTAGACAGTATGATAATATTAAGGGTTAGTTGTTCATGACAATCAGCTAAACAGAAAACAGTGGTATTTTATTTGTACCTGAAGAATATTAAACTTCATGCACACTAAATAAATGAAAATTAGTTTGTTACTTTTCTGGATGAATCTAAGTTTTTTAACTTGGTTACATTAGAAGAATATCCACTTTGTCATCCTATTCTGTCAGAAACAAGTAAAGACCACGGAGAAAACATTTTTAATAAAATATAGTTTGAGCACACTCATAATATAACTCCGACTGGAGCCCCTCTGGGGCTACTGCTTGTCCCAAGCCCGGATAAAGGAGGAGGGTTTGGCATGGGATTAGCGGCCGCATCCCGTAGAAAACTAACTCGCTAAAAAACGCTAACCAGAAAAAATTACTCAAACCATTTAAACTCTGCCCTGGGAGTCAGGTCTTCATTTTGAAGAGTTATGACGCCTCATAAATTATTTATAAATAGCTGTCTACGCAAAATACTCAACATCCATTGGCCGGATACAATTAGCAACAGCCTTTTGTGGGACAGAACCAACGAGCTTCCGGTTGAAGAGGAAATTAGGAAAAGACGATGGAAATGGATAGGACATACATTACGCAAATCATCAAACTGCATCAGGAGACAAGCGCTAACTTGGAATCTTGAAGGGAAGTGAAAAAGAGGAAGGCCAAAGAACACATCACGTCGGGAAATAGAAGCAGATATGAAAAGGATGAGTAGTAACTGGAAAGAGCTGGAAAGGATTGCCCAGGACAGGGCTGGATGGAGAATGCTGGTGAGCGGCATATGCTCCTTCACGATGAGTAATAGGCTTAAGTAAGTAATGACGCCTCATGGTGAAAACCGAGTTCCTTCGGAAGTCATGAGGCTGACGCCCCTTCTGACAACCAGAGCAACTATTTAGGTACATGGAATGCTCGTACAGTCATACGATAGCATTCCAATAGATCTCAAATGAAGCAACAATTTCTTCGGTTAGTAATAGACAATATGAAAACTGGTGAAAGTACTCATTAGCTCAAGTTAATTTCAATTCAATTAAATGAGGACAGGAAATTAGCCAAACGACAATCAAATGAGTTGAAATGATAGTATCAATGTCGGTGAAAGTACGTCAGAATTTGGAATTTTAGCTAAATATAAGTGAGTGAAATCATGGAATGAATTATAAAACAAAACTAAAACTCAAAACCTGAAGGAAGATAAGGAATAGATATCTTTGCATGTTTTTTGACTGGTTTCGACCCATAATACCTAAACTGTGCACCAAAGGATCACGGAGAACTCAGCCAGGATGAACGAATCTCTTAACAAGATTAAAGTTTAACAGTTAGTGAGTTCATGGACTGTAACACGATCCCTACCGAATTTTCTCTGATCTACTTAATATTATCTAGCATAGCAGCAGGCAGATCCCCTTTATTGGTGAGCACCAACTAGTTCAAAGCGAAATACAAGGCTTGTGACACTTCCATTCAAGCATCTTAACACAGATTGAGCATATGGTGAGTATGTAGTGTTTTTTATGATACACTTGTCATACCATTTATTGTATCAAGTTTGTGGAATTAACTTTAAAAATACGCAAAAGTCAAACACTGGATACTCAAATGCAACAATAGATCTGTTGGGGAGAGACAGAATATTCCTCAAAAAAAGTCCAGAGCGGCCCTGAAAACGCTAGGAAAATTTTTGTCCAATCAACACTAAATAGAAGTTTCTTAGAACCATCTAGAAAATGAAGAGTTACGTGCCACACTTCTGGATGGATGATTGCTTATTCTGTTATCATGTTTAGTAACGTTCCAGAACCTTGCAGTAAAATGTTCTTCCCATATTTCGCTCCTTTTCTCCCGTGTTCAAGTTGTCGTATAGATTTGACCTGGAGTTACTAGAAAAGCTAAGGAAACCGACCCAAGCGTTCATTCAGAAGATTTATCGAGATCGAGGTAAATATGTGACGTTTTAAACGAACATTTTAATTGATCACATAAAACAAGACCAATAACTTAGGAAAAGTAAACGAGAAACAATCATACCTTAAAATTCTCTTCAGATTCTTTAGCTATAGCTCTTTCTGATTCCAATTGCTTTTCCAAACGTTCTTGTTCCAGAATAGCTGCTTCCTTAGCTTCAGCATCTTCTAGTAGTAATGAACAATCTACACGATTATCTAAATAGGCTTCAATTTGAACTTTTAATCGTGACCCAGAACGATCACGAATTTGCTATAAAAAAGGTGAATAAATTACGAAAAATGACCAAAATGTTATAGCCTTAATAACATTGAGATAAAGTATTATATATTTTTGTATGAGATTAATTAAATTGTTTGATATCTGCATTCAGAATACAATTTTGTTAGATATATAATTGCACAACACTGGTCGCAATCACTGACTATCCTAATAAATAAGGGGTCAAAATCATCCTGTGATAAATATATGGGGATTAGTTTGACTATCATAGCATCTAAAATACTAGCATCAATAATTATCGGACGCTTAACAAAGAATCGTGAGCTTCAAACACGAGAAAATCGGGCTGGCTTCAGACTTGGTCGTGGCTGCATCGACCACATATTCACCATTCGTCAGGTTTTAGAACAAACATGCTTATCAGCGTCCGACAATGGTGGTCTTCCTTGATTTAAAAGTAGCATTTGACACTGTAGACCGAGAGGTTCTGTGGCATTTAAAGGTGTACCTTAGAAATACATAGACCTTGTGAAGGCTCTTTACTCGAACACTACTAGTCGAGTCAGAGCTTATGGAGAACTGTCATCTGATTTTGCAACCCCAAGTGGTGTCCGTCAAGGCTGTCTACTATCTCCATTTTTGTTCAACTTCATCATGGAACTACTGTTAAAAATGACATTCTCGTCAAATAAATTTTTGGGCATTGATCTATTACCAGGAGGTCCACTTATTGACTTAGAATATGCAGATGATATAGTCCTGTTTGGTGAAGACGCTATGTTATATTTTCGCTCTTACGGTAATAACCCAGCTATTCCTATTGCTTAGTATTCACGGACACAGATTCACTCGACAAGGCAACTGCATCACAAGACGTACTTGAAATGGCATGTGAACTCGAGCAGTGGAAGCTAAGCTGTTGAGTCAGAGTCTCTAACAACCGCATTTGTGCATCTAATTGTTGCTGCTGTTGTTGTAGTATTCGGTTAAGCTGGTCATCTGATATGGACATATTGAATTTATTTTCCTTTTTCCCCGTGGCCACTGTTATATTTTCGCTCTTACGGTAATAACCCAGCTATTCCTATTGCTTAGTATTCACGGACACAGATTCACTCGACAAGGCCCCAAATCAGAACACGATTGAGCAGGAAGGAGATTATATTACAAATAACAAGGTTTAGGTGGAAGCAAGAAGCAAAATAGGAAAACCGTTAGTATATTTATAGCTTTTTGCATAAGAAGAATCTAGAAGCTTCTCCATGTATCGACTAGCGCTGATTGGATAAGAATCAGCCAATCAGCGTGCGCCAAAGCAATCGTGCATTGAGCATGCTTAAATCCAATCTATGTCCCACTAACACGCTGATAAAATGCAGTCTTTTGATAGCAATGAGCAACAATGCCAGGATGCTTGGAATGCGTTTCTCCACCTCTAAATGCAAATTATTGTTTCAGGACTGGCCAGCGTCAACACCTGAACTAAGGATGAGGAGTGAATTAGTCGAAAGCATCGACAACTTCACTTATCTTGTAAGTCTGATCAGCCCTATTACTTTGGTGTCTGACGAAATCCCTACACGGATTCAAAAAGCTCGTTTGGCTTTTGTCAACTTACGTCACATATAGCGTAGGCGAGATATTTGTCTATCAATTAAGGGACGAGTAAACTACGAAGCAGTTTGTTCTCTTCTAATTTACAGCTGCGAAACGTGACCATTAAGAGTAGAAGATACTCGTAAGTTGTTAGTATTTGATCACAGATGTCTTAGAAACATTGCTAACATCTTCTGGGAACACCGGGTAAGTAATAGTAAGGTTAGATACAGAGTATTAGGGAATGATGGTCAATCAGTTGATGAGGTTGTGAATCTTCATCGACTGAGATGGTTGGGCCACGTGTTGCGTATGCCTGAACACCGATTACCACGACGCGCAATGCTCACTGGTGTTAGGGATAATTGGAAAAAAGCTAGGGACGGCCAAACAAAAACGTGGCATCAGTCCTCGAAGTCACTAACTTCTGGTCTGAGCCATGTTGGTAGATGCAGACTACCTGGTTGAGGTCTGCATGACTATCGTAGCCAATGATTAGAGACTCTGGGTGACATGGCTCAGAATCGATCACAATGGCGTAGTTGTATACACTTTTTGTCTTCCCTTAAACCGTGAGATTAAAATTACTTTATATCTTCCTTTCTACCAACTAATTCTTTCTTCCTGTATTATATTCTTATAGGCAATCTTTCTTTTATATATTACTATCATTGAAGTAAGTACGCTTTGAATTTCGTGTTCATCTTGTTGTGTTAATGAGGTGTGGCAACTTGGACCAGTGCATATATGTACCGATTTGTGGGGCATATCTATTCGGTGCCTTCTTGTACCTATGTTTGTGTTTAAATAAAATAAAATAAATATATCTACCTGGTCCTACGTTGAAGCTGACTGATTAAATTGCACAACTAATTTTATTTTTATGTGAGAAAACATGGGGTTGATAAACTATGGTTGAAAATAATTCATTTGTAGTATTACGCCAATGTTTTCTAACCCTTTGATATAAATGCAAAACGTATAATTGATATTTCAACATTATGTTTTCATGTACAGACATGTTTTGGTGTTATTTTGGACAACTGAAAGATGATGAACAACTTTTACCAGTATAAAAAGCTGGGTAGGAATGCAAAAAGATTTTTTACTTATTATTGAGTCACACCACTAAGATTCGGAAAGCTGATCGGGTTTGTAGATTGAAGTATGTGTAATGAAAATTAAAAAAACTTGATCATCTAACTTATATCAATACAACATAATTAGTAACAATTAATAGTACACAAAAGGTATGTCAATGTCAACTCTGATTTTACGCGACTCAAAATTGGACGACCACTTACTGGAGTTAATATATTTACCACAGCAAAGGTTGTGCATATCCTAAAATTGTTAGGTGTACTATAAAACTCACTGGTATTGAGTTCAGGCTATTTCGTGAACATAGGACACGAATATAGCCAAAAACATTGTTCATGTTAAGGTACACATGTTGCGAATTTGTTATGAACTTTAAAAACGAATTCACCGTGAGTAATTTCAAGTCAGAGAATCCTTAGAATTCATCGTTCACAAACAACTACTTTAGACTCACAGGAATATTGATATTCTGATGACAAGAAGAATTACAACATGGACAAATAAATATAAGATCGATCGACCAATTTTTGAAATAAGTATCAGTAATTTCAAATACTGTTTGTACTTTAAATCATTGAACAGAGTCATTCATAATTTGGTCAAGTAGTTTCATCATAAATAAACTGAAGTACTTCGTGAATAAACTAGTACCATTTGCCCTATTTACTAGAAATTTACTTTTTAATTGTATACAGTTGTGGAAATTCGCTAATCAAAATGGTCAACTAATAACCTTAGGCTTAATTAAAACATATAGTTTAAATCCGTTAACATAAATATACGACAAGTGAATAGGTCTTGAAGTGAAATTGATACCTCATGAATGCGACGTTTGTACGATAACGAAAAGGTTGCCCAAATTGTACTGTGTAATGTTACAAAAATGTACAATGTCTATTAAAAAAACTTCATGAAGTTATATTTTATTTGCTACTTATTACCATACTTAATCTTCCAAAAAGTAAACAATAAAAGTTGATAAACTTACGCAAGTCCATCTCAACCGAAGTTCACTGAAAAGAACTGATAACACTGATGTGAAACATCAAAATGCAAAAAGTAAAGTACAATACGGACTTAAATCATGATTATTTTGTAGCTAGAAGTTAATCTGAAGATACAAATAAATTATATATTCTATCATACATAACCAAGTAAACGCAAACGCTATGAATACTGTAAGTTGAGGGATGTCAATCAACTATATTTGTGGGAATATTGGATTTATTAACCTTTATGAGGGGACACTGTAGTATAAATAGTAGATCTATTAATTCATCACTTATAGGAATTAAGCCCCATGAGTATTACTATAGTCACTATTACCAAAGGTTGAGTGAATATTATTAGGGTCTTTGAAATATTCACTAGAAAAGGGACTCAACATAGTATGAAATTGTTGTAAGTCACGCAGGTGACTGATTATTAACTTTTAATAATAAGCCTGAGAACGGATTTTTTAAATTTTATAAAACTAAGTCTTAAAACTAAGTTAAAATCTTCTTTATTGTGGGAACTGCTGTAATGGAGAGAATTCATTTGTTGAGTATACATATAACTTACTTTTAACAAATCATCAAATCCAAGTAGTTGGAGTTCATATTGTAAATATACTCGTAAATTTATATTCTCTGGTGAATGAACAATAATATTGAGAAATTGTACGCATGTTACCTTCAAAATATATTTAAAATATAAGCTCATGAATTCATACTTTTAAAGTATTAAAGTTTCAACAGTGAACATGAGAAAGCCAATGAAACATTCAAAAGCTACATACTGTCCTGGAAGAAAAGTTTAAATAAACTATAAACCCGTATGAACTATTCAGGGCCCCCAAGTGCCCTGGTACGGTCAAGGGCGAGGAGAGTCTGCTTCCCCTCTCGAAATACTCTCACATGGCCACGTGCATACAACCACTAACAAGGAAGTCCTACTCACTGCCTTCTCGAGGCACTGGTGTTGTTTACGAAATCGAGAGGACGAAAAGCGAATGTCCGGTGGTTTCATCGGGTCGGTGGATATGGAGGATCCACCCAAGGGAGTCGAAAAACCCTAACTCCAAATCAATGGTGCACGTGGGCTCCAGGATTATGAAGGAGCAAACGGCGTATGAACCTAATTTCAGTCACTGGTTACCATGTGACCGCATCCCCTGACGTTGCTCCACTGCCCTGTGGATCAGACTTTTAGGACTAATGGCTCCGGATGTGGTCCCCTAAGAAAACCACCTGTTTTGGTTTGGGCGCCCGGGTAGTATCACAGCCCTGATTCAAATCAGTGATAACTGCTACGGACCTCATTGTTATTAAGTGGCGCATATGTATTTGGTGCCCCTTTGTACTGATGTCTATGTGTTCAAATAAATAAATAAAAATAAATCCAGCTAATATAAGTGGTAACCAAATTGTTTAACCGGTCCTCATATCTCATAGTTCCGAATAAACGCGTTAAGATAATAATTTGTTTGAGAAATGGAAATGATAGGGAACCCTTATTTATGGTCAACATGACGTTATATTTTTACAGCACAAAAGGTGTAGTTTAAGCCACTCCTTCTAATCAATACTGTCAAGAGCTTAATTAGAAGATATTCTTCTAAAGTATAGATATAAGATAAAGCCAATAGTATTCAGTAGTTATTATATGAACATAAGGCAGACGTTTTCAATAAATAACCGTCAACAAGATATTTTTATTAGCAGTAAGTGTTAGTTTTTTCTCTGAATTGTGATCTAACTGTCCATCGCTCTACATATCAGTAATATGTACTGCGCTAGTAAATCAAAGTAATTACATGTTATCCACCAGTTATTAATGATTATCAGTGTTGTACCTAAGGATTAAATGAATGGTAACTTCGGGAATTATTTGAGGATTATTATATGTATATTCTTATCATATAATTATCAAATAACCAGGTTATATATATACATTCATATTCCGTTTATCACAAGCTTTCATTTGACTCATAAAGTACCATTAAACGACTTACTATTCTTAATTTATTCCCGAGCTATTAGTTACAATCTCCTATACTCACAGCCACTTTTGGCTTGATCTTGTATAACTTACTTTTCACTTTATGTGATGCAGTCTGGTCTGGTCGTATCTAGACTACGTATGTCTGAAATATATTATCCACACAGTGGAGGAGGATATTGTGTCCCGGACTCAACGGGCAAGGGTAGGCGAGAAGCTACTATATTGATGACCAATAAAGATTCAGAATTGACTCAAGACCGATAGTACTGGTTGGCGTGTCATTGGTTTAGTACAAAGACAAGGTCACAGAAGTCAATATTCTGGCTGATGATTTTGTCACGCGATACTTGATAGGGCCATAAATCACTATAATCAGGGCTTTAAATACACAGAAACACTTTGGATCATTTTACTGATTAGTGCCGATTATCAACTGTAGTCAGTCGCATCATCGATGAATCTATAATATTCCAATAGGAACTGGTTGGTTCTGTTCTGAGAAAGAAATTTCTAGGTTTTACAAGCATACCAAACTTATTCTAATATGACTAATTAGTTCGAATAATGAAATTAGTTAATGTGAAACTTAATATGTTCCAACTAAATAAATCTTCAGTGTGTGGTGACACAGAATACACGTGTTTGCTTAAGAATGTCAACCCAACCGTCTCCTGTAGTTGAAGGGGATTCGGAATGTTGATGTGAAGATTTGAGTCTTGAAGCTATTGAACTACACCTACCCAGACATATATTAAAAATTTATAGATACTTTGTAAGGAGTAAATCTTATCCAGTTGTTTTTGTGACAATACATTAACAATTAATTACTCAAAGATCATGAGAAATAAAGTAGGAAAACTCACTGCAAAATCTAGATTGTAGCTTTCTTCATCAAGCGACTCGTGGTATCTGAGTGCTGCCAAAAGAAGCTCAAATCTCAATCCTTCACCCATCACGACGCGTAACCTGTCGAAGGATTGCAAGACTTTCACGTGACCACCTTCAATTAGACACAATGCAGTAAGCATGTCTAGTGCTAGCGTTTTTGTTCTACAGAAAAATATTTCCAAGAACAAAGTTACAGCTAATTCCAATTTATTGAGTTGATTAGACTTTAGGCAAACGCACATAAATGATTCGATAAGAAGTTACTAATTTATTTACTTTATCACGGAGTAAATTAACTATCAGAAATAAATTTTAGGGATATTCGAGTATTAGTCCTAGGAGGACAGACTAATTACATCAATCCAGATGAATAATCTCGAAACGAAAAACTATCAATTAAAATGCGTTTGATTAAAAATCTACGATCAATATTTAGCATTTTGCTGATTCACCAGAAACAGTATTCTGGATAGTGTGTAAATGCAAAACGCATACAACACATAAAAATTTTGGGATTCCCAGAATACATAAACATCATAATCTACCAAAATACAGTTCCTTTAATACTTTGAATACAATGAACTGCATCTTCAACTTTGAAAATACCTCAGAACCCATGTCTACGCTAACTTATATGGAAGAAATTGTGCTTGAAATCTCGCATTCATTAAACGAGAAATGGACTATTAAGATTATAACAGTTTTGATCTTAATGAATGAGACCCAGTTAAAATTTGCAATCACATACCTTTATTAGTGCCAGAGAAATTTTTATTTAACACAGCATAGTAGTGTTTGAAAGACCTCATTTACAGCACACCTACTAGATGTGAGAATCACTAAGCACCAAACAAAGTTAGGAGTAGTGCTCATAAGAAGAAAAACAATAGATAAAGTTATATATCAATGTTGTCCGTAGAGATCCTGACATGTGTCAACCACACGACAAGCAGTGTTTGTCAGAGTACAAAGCAGAATACCAGGTTGATAAGTGATAATTCTTAGTCACAAACTATCATCACAAGCTGTGTAACTGACTTGTAGGCTGTTAAATAAATGGCTGGAAATCATAAGAAGTAAGACTTGAAATTGACACCAATAATGGAAGTGTGCACAACTTAGCTGTAAGATTTACAAATTCTAAACGGACTTTTCTTCGCGCAATTCCACTTTTTTACTTAGTGAGTAGAAAAAAAGCATCAGAGGATTCACATGATGTTTTAAGTTATGCTAGTCGGCTGCAACAATACAAGCGAGGTACTATAAATTGACCAGAAAAGGATAACATCCATCTGGAGCTAATGTGAGACCTAATAGGGATTTCACTTCCCTTAATCCATAGTCAGGGCGAATGCAGTTCCATTATTCTGTCATCATAATTATCAAATCATGAAAAAGGAACTTCGCGTAAAAATGAATGATCCAAAGTACACTACTACACTGACAACAATAACTTTCAACTAGGACCTAAAATATCTGAGCTAACATATGCATGACAGCACTAAATTTGCCTCGGCTATTTTGAGCCAGAAAAGTGTACATACTCAAACTATAAGAGAAAACAGGTATCAAATCTCACAGGATACAGCTTCCTGAAATGTGAGTACTGTTAAAGAGAGTGGGCCGAATTCTATTTTATACTTTGACCTACGTCACTAACACGATATAACGTTACATTAGGGCGAAAATACGTAAAAGTAAGTTATAAGCCGATATTTAACTGTGGTACTTACGAATAATTAGGATGCAGAAGACAGAAAGTTACTAGACTAATGACAAGTGCATGCTCCATAGCTCTTCTACACCCTCTCTAAAAAGGCTAATAATAATGAGTAGCAGAAGAACCAACCTGATTATTCAATATGGCCTTAAGCGAACGAAGAGACAGATGTAAGCAATCTTCGAGAAAGTCTAAGAACGACGCAGTGAGTAGAGAACCTTTTGATGAACAGCTACTGTGAATAATGGATGTGGGTAAAAATGTATTGTCTAAATCACCACATGAATTGTGAAAACGAATTAATTCTTATTACTTGGTGAAAAATGGTTTGACTTTATGCTACTATTACGGATGAAGTTAGGAACTTCTGCATAGCAAGACATTTCGTAGCGACCCCGATTAGTTTCGTCTAAGGATTTACTCCCACATAATATTCGTGAGCCGAATGTCGTGTCCTGTCTGAAGGAAATAACCCATCGAATCGGACGACTAACCCTGATAGAAAATGCATACATTGTAACATTAGATCGGCTAGTGCCTCAAGGCCCTCGAGATCTAAAAAGTCATAAACCCATCTAGAATTCGAATACATTGAACTAAATTACTCAACATTGTTGGTACGAAGAGAAATTTCTACTGACGATAGTAGAGAACGAAATGCTGAACCGTCTACTTTCTTTTTCTACAAAAGTTAGGTGGGGAAGCATTGGACAAACCCAAAATAATTCAATCCGACTAGCTTTTAAAAGCGTAACATAGTGAAAAGCAGAACACCTAGGGTTTTTTAATTCCTGGAAAAAAATATATAAATAACTTCTTTAGTACATAATTTGACAGCAGCTCTGCCTTCTTCCCTTCATCTAACAATTCAATTTGTTTTATATGTTCGGCTGACAAATCAAGTGAATTCATAAAGGATTTCCAACGACTTTCAAAATCTTTTATGCCTACAGAACTCGTTATTCCACTTTCAACATTTGAAAGCTGACGTTTCTCTAAGGCATGAGCATTCCCCATAATAGAAGACGCTAGCGGGAAACCATTATCCCCAACCAATGAGGGACCTGTTGAAAAACCAACGACCTTCAGCACCCAATATCCAATATTTTCGTCACGAGCTCTAAATGGTTTCAAGTGGTTCTGGATGGAATAGAAAAAGATTTCGCTTGACAGGCTTCCGTATCTAGTAGTAGTGGATCTCCGAGGTCTCCAGGTAAGAACCTCGGTACATTTAACGATAAAAGAGGATGATGGTTCTTCATCGAACTGGTCGAAAATGAGCTTGTTTAGTCGATTGATTTTATTGTACTTGCTACTTGTTGTTTCGGTACAGTCCCAGGCATTTGGTAATTTCTGATCACTGGTGGTCCATCCACTTGATTATCTGTTTGTAGAGACTTGTTGGTTTGTATATCATTCAGTCTGAGTGTGTATAAGTCAGTGCTACAGAAATTCTGAAATCAGCAGCAATCGCATTATTCAGATTCAGATTTGTATAGTAAGAACAGAAGGCCTATGGCCTATGTTATTCCTTTTGCAGTATGCTTCTGTGTGTCTAGACTTCTCTTGAAAGAGTCAGTTGAAGGTGCGGACACCAAAGCTTCCGGCAGCATGTTCCAAGTATTGATGATACGGTGTAAAAACCTGTATGCCACGGGTATTTTGTTCGTTCTTGGCTTTTCTACTCGCCTGATATGTCCTCTGAGATGTCCCTGTCTAGTGGGAAGAAAAAGAGAGAGTAAGTTAGGTCCGAAATCAATTCTCAGTATTCTGTACATCAAAATTAGATCTCCCCTTAATCTGCGATAGGACAGGGTGAAGAGATCTAGCTTTTCAAACCGCTCTTTGTATGGTAAATATCGAAGTTCTGGAATTAACGGGTAGCTTCCCTTTGTACTTTTTCTAGGATATCCGAGTCATCTTGTAAACAGGGGCATGCAGCCTGAACGCAGTTCTCAAGCTTAGTTCTCACTAAGGATGTGTATAATTTGGTGAACATGGTCGTATCTAGCTTAGTGAATGCCCGTTTTAATGCCCAGAGGGTTTGAAACCCTTTAGCTGCGACCTCCTGGCAATGGACCGTCGTCTTAAAATCCCGACTTACTGTCACCCTCAGATCCTTATGAGACCAAACCACTGGTAATGGCACTTCCCCTATATTATACCCATTAATATTTGAGTCCCCAAAGTGCATGTAGACACACTTTGCCGCGTTTATACACATCAGCCACTCTTTAGAATAGTTAATTATATTATTTAGGTCTGTCTAAAGAGCATATGAGTCTGTGTTTCCACTTATTACTCGCCAGATCTTTACATCGTCAGCGTATAATAACATTCGAGACTGTACTATAATTGGGAGATCATTGTCATACATTATAAAAAGTAAATTACCTAGGACGGAACCTTGAGATACTCCACTAAGTACTGGTCTCCAGATGTAGCACTTGGAATCTATTCTTACCTTCTGTCTACGACCTACTAGGAAATCCTTAATCCATTTTAAAAGAGGTCCAGCAATACTAAGGTCTTCCAACTTCAATAGCTGTCTACTTGTTGGCACCTTGTCAAAAGCCTTACTGAAGCCCATGTAGGCAACATACACTGAGTTTCCGTTGTCTAGCGCCTTTATCCGAAATCCCCTTGCTATAAGGAGGTTCGTTGTACAAGATAGACCCTTTCTAAAACCATATTGTTTTATGTTTGACAAGTTATTTGTTTCCATAAATGCCATTATGGTCCGTTTGACCATTCTTTCCAATATTTTAACAACAACACTGGTGAGGCTTACATTTCTGTAGTTCGATGGAAGTTGTCTTGGTCCTGTTTTATGTATGGAAGTGACGATTGCGTCCTTGCGGTCTATAGGTAACACACTTTGATTTAGTGACATATTGAATATCACAGTCGATGGGGGAGCGATATATTGTGCAATATGTCTCAAAATTTTGGGTGTAGTTTATCTGATCCTGTTGACTGTTCCATGTTTAAGGTTCTGAGAGCCTCAAGCACATCGCTTTGATCAAGGTTCACGGTAAGCAGGTGGTTTATTGACTCTATTTCGGTCTGGTTCTTTGTCTAAAGTAGGTTTCTGAGTGGAAACTGCCCCAAAATGGTCAGCAATAGCCTATGTTTTTTCCTGATCTTCCTCTATCATTTCACATTCTCTCCCTTCTTTAATTAGATTTGGAATCCAATGATGCATCCTTATTCTGTAGTTCATGTATGAGAATATTCTCCTGGGCTGCTTGAGTGCTGATTGTGCCAACTGCATTTCATATTTTCTTTGAGCTTCTCAAAATTTTGTCATACACTTGTTTCTTACCGATCTGTAGCGTTTCATCGTACCATCTGTACCAAGGCGGATGGCGACATCCCAACATTTCTCCTTTTGACTTGGTAAACGTTGAATATCCCGGCCTATCCGGGGATGTCCGTGCTTCTTCTTCCTAAGGACTGTCCAGGGTATGTACAGTTGAATTATTGTGGTGTTTGAATGAACTAGTAACTTTTTTTGTACACGTTGAATGCCTGATTTCGAATTCTAAATACAGTACATTCGTTCATGCTTATCTAGTAGTTCTTGATCCAATTACGTTATTTCTGGGATTATTAGTTCGTACTATAATTCAAATACTTCTATTTATCATATTGGCGTCGCGATGGAGCCTGCGATAGAACAGTTAGATATTCATTCAACTTCTGAGGATTATTTGGAAAGGTTTGAAATCTGGAGCATGACCAATAAAGATGTTAAAGATGATAAGATTGTGGCACATTTCCTGACGTTCATTGGAAGAGAAGCATACAGCTTATTAAAAACCTTGGCATATCCAGAAAAACCTATCTCACTTTTTTATGTAACTCTTAAGGAGCTATTATTAAATCATGTAGAGTGCATTAGTTTTGAATGCCGTGAAAGGGCGAAATTTCATAAGGTGATTCGTCAAAATGACCAAAAGGTTAAGGAATTCATCCTTGAATTGCAGAAACAAGCTGCCAAATGTAATTTTGGTGATCAACTTCATGTGCAACTGAGAGACCGATTAATCGCAGGAGTTAACATACCGGGTTTAAAAAGGGAGCTGTTAAGAATGCCGAACTGTTCCTTTCAAGATGCTAGAACTGCGTGCATCAACTACGAGACAGTGAATGACTTGATATCCAGTCGATGAAGATTTCTAATACTTTGCTTAGTCGTCATGATGAAATACAATCTCAGGATCAATCAAACTTGCGTTCGTTTAACAGTGATTCCTATTCTCGTGTAAATATGAAGGTTGTTTCAACAAGGAATTACAAAGGAAATCACTAAGGTGAGACCAAGTTTGATAAATGTTTATCATGTGGAAAACTTCATTCTCGTAATTCATGTGCATTTCGTAATGCTAAATGTTTTAGATGTGGTAAGATAGGACACATTCAGTCAGTATGCAAAGCTGCTGTTCATTTTGCCTCATGTAGTACTAAATCTTGTAATTTAGATCCCAATAATTCAGCTGTTCCTAATGATCATTTATCTTTGTCTACCATGTCGAAAGGTAATGCTCATATTCAAAAGCGGTTATATACATCGCTTGGTTCATTTCATGACTTTATTGTGGACACGGGCAGTATAGAGTTCATTATTTCATTCAAGAACATGATATCTTTCGATCCTAACGTTGTGGTACGACCCACTGAAGTATCACTATTGGGGATTACTGGACACAGACTGCCTATACGAGGATGTTGTGAATTGTTAATAAGAGATGATAACTCTTCATACATACCTTGTGAATTTTTAGTTAGCGAAACACGACTGTCAATACTGGGCTTAAGGAATTTGAAAAGACTTAAAGTGGAGCTGTCTTTCCTAGTTTCTAAAGAAAATTCTGATGCTTTACTTAAAGATTTGATATCTACATCTGTAAAGTGCAGTGGAGGTATGAAAATTCAGCCTATAAAACTCCAAGTAGAGGGTGATCCAGTCTTTCTTAAAAGACGAATAATTCCTCATGGTCTTCTAGAGGCAGTACATAAGATATTAAACGATTTGTGTGCAAAAGGCACAATTGAACCGGTTCAGTCTTTAGCATGGGGTACTCCTATTGTTACGCCACTGAAATCGGACGGCAAGACTCCTAGAATATGTGGTGACTATAGATTAACATTGAACTCCCATTTGTTGAAGCAAACATGCACGACGGTAGAGGATGAAGATATTCTAAATCGACTTCATGGTTCTAAAGTATTCTCAAAGGTTGACCTAAAAGATGCTTATCTTCAAATCCCTTTAGATCAATCCTCATCTATTTTGACGACAATTAACACTCCTTTTGGTCTGTTAAAATACAATTTTCTTCCATTTGGTCTAAGTTGTTCTCCAGCCATATTTCAGGAAGTTATGAATAAGGTGGTTAGTGATCTTGAAGGTGTTGAAGTTTGTCAAGATGATCTCATTGTTCATGGTTCTGATAAGGTAGTTCATGACCAGAGACTTATCGCCTTATTGCGTCGTTAAATTGAGAAGAGGATTACAGTGAATCCAAATAAGTGTTCAGTTTGTGTATCTAGTTTTGAATGTTTTGGATACCTAGTTGATGGTAATGGTTTTAGACCAGATATGAAACGACTAGCTCCACTGACAAATGCACCGTCTCCAGAAAGTCTTACGGAACTACGTTCACTAGTGAGTGCTCTTCAATACCATTCCCGTTTTATTCCTAATTTTTCTGGTAGTGCAAATTGTTTATTTAATATTTTGACATCCAATTCATTCAAATGGGGTGAGGAACAAGAGTCATGCTTACGTAGTCTACTAAAGTTTCTTCAAAGTGATGCTGTTCTTCGAACTTACTCTCCTAGTGTACAGTCTGTGCTTATCACTGATGCATCACCTGTGGGTATTGGCGCAGTTTTGGAACAGGAGGGTAGACCAGTTATTTGTGTTTCACGCAAACTTACTGTTACTGAACAAGGCTAGTCACAGACTCAGCGAGAAGCATTAGCTGTGTATTGGGCTGTTAAAAGACTTC